GGTCCTGCCACTGGGAGATATTGCCGAGAAGCCCCGGGTTTGCACCCCATTACGATACCTGAAAGGCCCAGATCCTACAATTCCCAATGCCATTGGCCTTGAGGCCTCACGCGTGAACTCGAAGCGGCCCGGATGCTAGAACTAGAAACAACCATACCACCCTGGAGCCCTAAAGCATCCTTTGAAGCCCTCGAGCCTTAAAATCCCAACACCCTTGCCTTGAGACCTCAGGTGTGAGCTTTGTATCGTCCTGTCGCCAAAAACCTCAAAGCGCCTAAATCCTAACACTTAAAGCCCTAAGCTGAAGCCCCAGAAGCTCCAAACCCCAAAGCCCAAAAACCTCAAGCCCTCAGCCCTTTCCAAGGCTGACGTCATATTTTTTACTGGCATCAGACCAAATGATCTAGGCCTTGCAATCTCAAATCCTCAAATCTTGGATGCCATAAAGTCCCAAATCCATGAAACCCTGATGCTTAATTAGGCTAGGTCCCTGCCCTATCATGAATCTGAGGCAAGCTCGGCAAAGGGCATCCAAGAAGCCGCCAGGGCAATGCAACTGGAGTCAAAGGACAATTGCAGTGAATTGACAAGAAAGATCGCCAGAGCTGGTACATATGGCAAACATGGAAGTAACGTGGAGAGAGATATATGCAGGGCGTTGGGTTTGCCACTGGAGCCCTGGTCGAACAATTATATGATCGATATGGTTCTACAAATATATTAACTCCATCATACATAGAACACTAGAAATACCCGAGCTCGGGTTTGTAAGCCAAGGACATTCACCACGTCAACATTCCGATCAAGGACACAACCACACGTCGGGGCCGATCTACACTGAAGCTGCCGTTCCTGATGCCACATGAAGTGTTCGATTACTTGTATGCTACTCATCCGCACTTTACAGCAATTATGCATCATGATATCATCACAGTTTTGGAAACCTACCTACATGCTAGCTAGCTATAATGTACGTAGTTAAGCAGGCAACCGGTCGTCTCCAGCGAGATCAAGCAGAAATCGACAGATTTTGGAACCATGTCCGCGAGCATACCGACTGGGGACCAAGCCATATTGCTCAGGGCCACAGCCCAATGTCTATATATGGCGACGACGCCCGCTACAATCTGGCTGGCGACAAGATCATGTTGATTGCAATGTCACCAGTACTGACAAGAGACAACATCCGTTGCATGGTGGATTTATTTAATTTGGTCCTCGAACCCGAAACCCTGAACAATTATAACTTCCTAGTATTTCGGGCCACTGGGTTTAGAGGTTTAGGGTTTAATTAGTCGGGGACAGGGGGTTTAGGGTTATTATATGAGTCAGTTATGTATACGGAGGTGGTTGCATCTTCAAACGCTTTCCAATCGTGACTCTACGATCTTGGTTGAATTTGGGTGACGAGACACTGGATCCTGTGCTACACATACTCTGCTGGAGCATAAATGTGATGTACGGAGGGGTCCATCCTGAAACGGGGCCGGCGGGGCTTAAGTATTCGGGCCGCAAAACAGCGGGAACACCACTGGCAGGCGAGCCTGCAGAGAAATCGATTCCATGTCCAGGCCATAAGATCCGCCTCAGCATTGCATGTGTTTTCTTTATTAATGTTATTCCTTGCAGGTGGCTCGCACTGTTTGGTGGAATGCCGGGGCGATTGGGCTTGGCAGCGTGATTTCTGGCGGTTGCAAGCAAACTGGCAGTCTGTCAAGCTCTGCCACCAGTGCACGGCAACGAGCCGAGGCCCCCACTCGTGGCTGGCCAGCATCGATCAAAGCTATGGCTCATCGCTTAAAACAGGGCGGGTAGCGCTATATAGTCGAATATACCTTATAATTAATTATCTGAGGTGGAGGACAAGCTTGCTTCGGGAGCACCCGCGCCGCTCTGAGGATGATTTCAACAATGTGGTCAGGCTGGCTGCTGAATGTTTATAAGTCTTATTAAATATACCCAGGGATATATGTATAGGGCAATATATACTCGAGGAGTCCGGCTTCAACTGACGATCTCGATGTAGCTAGATCGAGACACCCTGAAGGCGTCCGTGCAACCCGCTAATGCTGGTGGTGGGATGGGGGCCGTGGGCCATTCGGTGGTGCAGCATGCATGTGCTGAACCTAGGCTTGCTCCAGTATTTTGCTGGTGGCTGCCTAGAGCTGCTGATGGGCATCGGTTCCGAAATCTAAACATATACCTTATTAACCCTAAACCCATAATTAACTCCCTAAACACCGACCCCCCTAAGCCCTAAACCCCTAAGCCTTAAACCCTGAACCCTAAACCCTAACCCTGGACCCTAATTATAAACCCTTGTGTCCTTGATTACCTAGTCGTAGCAGTACGAGGTATATATATATATATATATATATATGTATGTATATACACTGCTAGGTTCCGGTTGTTTAAGCACCCCTACAGGCTTCTACGGGCCAGAAGCTGGAGCCTTGCAGGAATGTTCCGTCCGCTTTCGAACGTGGGCTTCGGCAAACCGAATCCGTCACAGCCAGCCTCATTTTACAAGTGGAATGATTTCGCACGACCCCTTTCCAAGCTTCAACCTGAAGGCCTGGAACATCCGTATATTTCTGATTTTCTTGGAGATTTGTTTGACCTCGGCGGCTTCTATGGTTAACAACAATGTTGAGCTGCAGCTGGCAGCTACAGCTGCCACATGCCTGGCAGTGTGGTTTGACCGCAGTGAACGAAGCGGGCGATATCTCACAGCCGAGGAAGCTTCCACTATTTGCACTGCTGGGCTCAAGTTTGTTGGCTACTATGAAGCTTTGGCAGTTCATGCACTACGCATCCAAGTGGTGCGCTTCAAAGTGATACCCAAATCCCATGTGCCGCGATGAATAATAGAATACTAGTTTTATTTTTAGAGCCGCTGAATCCCTAAACCCTAGTTACTAATAACCCTATTACAATATCCCTAGTGCCTACGACCGAGGCCATGACACACTTGTGTCGCGATGTGAAGCGGGAACGGCTTAACAGCCGTTTCTACCACTGCTACCATGACGAGGACCTAATGGGGCAATGGAAACTACTTTGCTCGCAGGTCAGCCGCGAGCCGGCTGCATATATTGCGAGATTCCCCCGGGGCCCAGATCATGAGCATCACCTGTCCAAGTAAGGTGAGTTGATGGAGTTTCGACTATTCAGTCGATACCTTCTTCGCTTGCACACGGCGCACTGACAAGCGCCGCTCGCCTGTATTGTAGTGATCATGATATCGGTGCGAAGTGAGTAGTTAACTAAGGTACCCGGCCCGGGGAGCAACCTGTGTGCTGCTACGTTCGAACGTCGGAAAAAATCTGTGGACTCGAGCTCGGATGCCACCCTGACCCCAAGCCCAATCGCTATATAGGCTTCAAGCGTGATGTTTCTGGTAGGTGGTGGCACGGATTATTACCCTAATTATGCCCTAACCTTAACTCAAGCGCCTCTTGAAGGTTCTAAAACGTTGACCACGGAGCTACGTTAAACCGAAGGAGAGCTTACGTTGAATAGAGTTAACGCATGACCGCAAAATTTGTCGACGTATGCCTAATATGGACATATGCCTGCGTTTTTTGTGTGCGCCGGCAAATGACCTTAAATTTCAAGTGCTTTGGAGCGCCTGGGATCCTCCAAGTCAGATTATGTTTTAGGGAACCCTCTGTGGAGTATGTGGTGCTGCCAGCTTTCAAAGACTCATTTTGTCAGACGTGTCCGGACGGATAGTGGCGACGGAATGCCCTACGGGCATCGACGGTCCCCTAACCCTAAACCCTAAACCCGAAACCCTAAACCCTAAGCCACGCCAACTTCGCCGGTGATGCAGGGCAGCTTAAATCTGAACTGCCTTGCGCGATCTTGCTAGAAGCTACTGTAGGAACCTGATTAAGAAACCCTGGGCCTATAACCCCAAAGAGTAGGATTAGGATTCATATAGGGAACCCTAATACAGGCCCAAGGTTTCTTAATCCTTAGTATGCTTGCCTTTAGCTCTTTTTGCAGCCCTAAGCCCTCGATATGCGGAAACCTTAACTGATTCCCTGGCGCTTAGTAGGGAATTGAGGAATGGGCTATGAGGACTCTTATTGGGGAGTATAGGGGAGTGCAGAGGGGCTACTATAGGGATCTATTCCCCTATTCCCTGCTAAGCACCATGGAGCTGATTCCAGCCAGGGTGCCAGAGTGCTTTGCTCGGCCAATGCTGCCTCAGGGACTTTCGCGTTCAAGCTTTAAGCTGTCGTCGCGGGGGGGGTGTCAAAGTGGAATTCCAGCTGAAACCCTCAACCCGACTCCCGTGGCGTTGTCCCGCAATTTCGTTCGTTGTGCGGACTGACTTTTTCAGAGCACTTCACTGATTTGCTGGCACGGCACTTGATGACTTACACCAGGTTACCGTTGCATTGCAACTAATTCTGATTTCAGTCAAATTTTTCTGCGACTGCTCCCAGCAGAATCACTAGCACCTGCACCATAGCTATTGCACCGGTTTACTTACTGGTGCTTAGTTCTATTTATGATGTTTTGCCTGTGCGACAGCTTTCTGGTATGGCAAGAGTTCATGCTGTCTTGGTGTATGTATGACCAGCAAGCTCTTCTGCGATGCTATCCTGGTGTGACTTGCTTTTGCAGATCGAAGGAACTATTCTCGCTGTTTGCTCTGAGACCAAGATGAGCAGCAAATCACCACCAACAGGAAACAAAAAGACACATCGCCATCGTGCTGCTCGCATCACTACTCCTGCAGTGCCTGGGTTTGGCGACCCTGTCGACAGTGATGCCGACAGCAACGAACAATGCTGTATGTGGTCATTTAGTCTGACAGGCATTTGGGAGTTTCCAAAAATCGGGGGTCCCTTAAATTGGGGGTCCGTATAATCAGGATCCTACTATTTAGGATACTGTATTAGGGTTCCCTATTTTCGGAAACTCCCATTTCTGAGCCAACAGAACCGAAACTCCGTCAGAGACTTGGCCCCACAACAGAGCGGCACCTCGACGCTGAAGAGCCTTTTATCAGCCATGGACGCCATGGACACCATGCTGCCCCTGAATTGGGATGCGGGCTTCGGCTCAAGGTGGGAGCCTTTGAAGTATGGTCCGAGGGCCTCATGAAAGGTTTCTCATCAGGACTTGATATCTGGGCATGGGTAAACACAGGGATTTGCAAAAACAGCTGCAGATCGGTGGTGGTGGCGGCTGCGGGCGGTTCCAGTGTTGATGGTTGCGGCTGTCGTTGTCGTCGTTGTTGTCGTCGTTGTCGTTGTTGTCGTTGTTGTTGTTGTTGTTGTTGTTGTTTTTGGTGGTGGTTCTGGTGGTGCTGGTGGTGGTTGTGAGGACTATACTATACTTCTCACGACGATCATGATGATGATGACGTTGACGGCGGCTGCGATAACAAGGATGACACTGCTGATGATGATGAATATGGTGATGACGGTGATGATGATGATGCTGGTGATGATAATAAAGCTGGCCGCGACGATGGTGAAGACGGCGATGAAACTGACGTTAATGATGATGATGTTGATGGTGATGATGATGATTCATCATTTCGATGACGATTGCGACAATGATGATGATAACTATGGTGACGATGACTACGCTAACGCAGCAGAGTTGATCCTGTTGTCGTGATGATGCTGGCGTTGCACCAACACTACAGCGATCTAACCTCAAGTCCAGGTACTCAGCTGGAACGCGTGGGCCAAGGTGCTCTCGTTTCAAGGTACTGGGGTCGTCCACGACCTCTTCCGCTGTCTCCGGCTGCTTCTCCCTCTCTGCATCCTCCTCTGCATGCACAGTGTTTGGGGTTGAATACCGAGCATCTCGGCCACACCTTTACCGCATCCAAACCTGTCAAATCCTGAACCTTCTCCTCAAACCCTGAATTAATCCGTTGGCAAGCCCCTATGGAAGGTGAGGCGTCTTTCGGAATGGCCGCGAATTGTTCAGAGACCGAGCTGTCACATGAGCGAGATCAAGACGCATAGTCCTGAAGCCCTCAAGCTGTAGCCGCACACTCCAGGCGAAGACTCTTCTAGGTGCTGATTCCTCGAGAGAGTTGGGCTCTTCTAGCCCTGTCGAAGAGCGGGATCCCACCCCAAAAAGCTTCAAACGGTTTCGGATTTCGGGTACACCCAAACCCTGTGCCCTAAGCATGTGCAGCTCCTCCGGCAGAGGCGGGCCGCCCATTGGCAGGTCTTCCGGTAATGTCGGAATTTCCTCGACGACATCCTGAGGAGCAGCAGAGGGTTTGGGCTTTTGGGGTTGTAATGCTCGAACTCTTGGAGGCCCAACCTGCCCGGATGCCGGAACGACAAGCGACATGGACAGCGACAGTGTGCACAAACAGCAGAAGCCTCGATCAATACTTAAACACCCAGAGAGACACCAAGCAGGCAGTTCTCTAGACTAAAAGCCTATGCAACTGGAGTACAAACGCCAAGCCTCTTAAGCTAAACCTGAGATAGAACCCTAAATCCCGAAATTCTTCGACTGCTTGGGTGCCAATACAACAACCTGAATAATTGGTCTGGGGGTTCCCAATTGCTACTACTACTACTACTACCACCACTACTACTACTACTACTACTACTACTACTACTACTACTACTACTACTACTACTACTACTACTACTACTACTACTACTACTACTATGTTTTCAGTCCCAGACCCTTGTACAGCATGTTCAAACCTTTACAAAACCACCAGGACCAAACCTCAAACCTTTAACCTTAAGCTGCTGGATAGAATCTAGTTAGAAGGGGTCAGAATGCACTTCCGATACTAGGCATAGGGAACCCAAAGCCGTAAACCCCTAAACCCTGAACCCCAGTAGCTGCAGTGGGGAACCTAAACCATCCTAAACACTTACACCTTCTGGGTAGTTCTCTGAATTGAGGTCCCTCTTTAGGTCCTCAGAATAGTACGGCACCCATAGAAAACGACCTTACAAGGGTACCCTACTTGAAGGATCTTGGGACTAGCCAGGGTTATAGTTAGGGGTAGCTATACTTATGACTACTTATAACCCCAATTAAGGTACTTGTAACCTGACTTACTAAATCCCATGATCCTCCAAGTAATTCAGGGAACCTACCTTAGATTTATCATACCAGGCCCCGTCCCCGCGCCGACCTCGGCGACGACGCCATGGGCCCAGCCTTCTCTGCCGCGAAAGACTTCGACCTGCTCTGTGTGTTTTTAGGTTCTATCGATAGGGTTGAGGGTTTAGGGATTAGGCTTTTTGGGGTTTAGGGTTGAAGGCTCTAGACTGGAAACCCCATAAAGGCGGAGCGTTTTACAAGCAATTCAAAGGGTTCGGACAAGTTTGGGCTTTCTTTTCTAAAGTAGTTCTCGGCTTTAAAGTGATAATGCTTTAGGATTCAAGGGATTTCAACCTTGTTCTTCTTGTTGTTGCTCTTTTTGTAAATCGTTCACGGGCTCCTTGGGTTTTTGGCGACTCGGGGCTTTGAGGTTTCGTTGGGACTGGGGGGGGGGGGGGTTTCAGGTTTTCAAGTTCCAAGCTTTGCTGAGGACTTTTCGGGTTGAGGCGGGTTTAGGGATCACGGTTTGGAGCTAACTAGTTTAGTTCTTTGAGGGCTGCAGCGACGTTCGCCAACTACAGCACCGGTAGGGTGAGACGCAATGGAGACGGACGGTCCGACATGGATGACATGTCGCACACCTTGCTAAACCCGGATCTCTGCGCAACCATCTGGCAGGTTAGTGCTTCAGGTGTTCCTTGTGCCAAAGAGTTGAAAAAGCCCATGCTTCCTAGCTCGGTTTGGGCAGCCTGCAAGAACCCTCCACTTTGGAGTGCAAGAGTGCCATGCACCCGGTCTGTCCCTGCGAACACCCGCCTTAGACTCGACTGAAAATGCCAAAGGGCCTGGTCGCCCTGCAGGTAACGGCGCTGCAGCTGTGACAGCATCACGTCATACTGCCGCCCGCGACCAGGTTCTCGCTCTTCCTCCTCAGCAGACGGGCACAGCTTTAAGTGACAAGCTGTCCACGCTTGCAGTTCGATGCCTGTCACTTGGTGTTCGATAATATCGGTTTTGTATGTCCGCACGGTGATATCTGATAGCTTGCCAACACACCTGCCTTAGACCCGAGAGCCACGGTGAAAGGGTTTGCCGGCAGTCTCACCAGGCCAAGGAGTTTGCTTGCGTTTGGAACCATAGCTTCTTGCGCAGCAGTAGGGATTTGGAACTTCGGGCTCAATTTCTGCTTTCGGGACATCGCTCGCCCTGGGGCTTCTGTCAGTTTAGAGACGTGCTTTCCGCTACCTAGAGCTTTGGGGCTGAATATAGGGGCCTTAATAGTTAGAATAGGGTTTGGGGGCATATTATACTAGAACTATACTAAGGAGCCCCCTCACAATAGTATAGGTAATTATTCAAGCCTCTACTTGGAGGATCATGGGACTTAGTAAGTAAAGTTATAAGTACCTTAATCGGGATTATAAGTACAGTTACCCTAATTATAACCCTAGTTACTAAGTCCCATGATCCTTTAAGTATGTTAGGCCTTTCAGGGTGGAGGCTTCAGATGTCTCTTCTGAGCCGGTTTAGGGTAGGTTTGGCGGCGACTGTGTAAGGAGGACGTCAGGCATTGCGACGGTGAAGCCCCCTGTTTTTAGGGGCCTTAAATCTTAGAATAGGGCTTTGGGCTCCAATATACTACATTTATACTAGGGAACCCCCAGAATAGTATAGGTAATTTATGAAGCCCCCATGTTAGCAGTTCCTTCGGTATCTGAAGAGCTTTGCTTCTCGGATCTGAGGTTTTGAGTCGTGAGCCTGGATTGCTGAGGCTTGGATCACTGAATCCCAAAGACCTTCCCACTAAAGTCTTCAGGAGAGCTCTAAAGGGAACTCCAGAAAGTTGGAATACGGATTAATGGTAGGATCCCGTATAATTTACCTTAAAGGGGTTACGATAATGATATTCCAACTTTCTGGCTTCTACTTTAACCCTAAACCCTAAACCCCAAAACGCTCTATGGCGTCAAGGGTCCAACAGAATGTGAAATGTCGAGGCGTGCGAGGAGAGGTGGAGCGCTGGTGGCTGCAGAACCAGCCCATTGACCCACTCGCCCTTCCTGCAGATATTGAAGTTTGGGTTTAGGGTCCTGCATGGGGTTTAGGTACTAGAGGGGCCGTAATAATTAGAATAGGGTATTGCGGGATGTTATACCGCAATTATACGCAGAAGCCCCCAAAGTAGTATTCGTAATTATTCAGCTGCCCCTATAGTAGTGCTTGACCCGAGATTGGAAGCATGTTGAAGGGCTCGGATGAAGCCCCAAGCATCGAAACGCTTGGGGCTCACGGTTCCAAGAGGCTTTTGAGCTTACCAGAGAGCCCAATACCCCTTAATTAAGGAATATACCTTAAGTTATAGGGGATTCAAAGTATGATTTTAAGTTATATTCCTTAATGAAGGGGTATTGGGCTCTCTGGGTCAGGGTGCTATACCCGAAGCTCAAAAGCCTCTTGGAACTGTATAGGGCTTCGGGCTTAGGGGTTTGGGGTTTACATACTGACGGTCCTCCGACCTCTGCAGTTCAGATCCTGAAGTCGAACCTGATACCGAATGCTCCTGTTGCCCCAGCCTGGGCCCCCCCAAAAAGGCAGAGAGGTTAGGGTTCAAGGATCCTTGGGCTGTCATTACAGTTGGGGTTCAAGGGGCCCGAGGCAAAAGATCTCGGGAGCAGAAGCTTTCGGCATCGAGGATCCAAACCGCATGTGAAGCTTGAGACGCACGAACGCCAAAGTGGGAAGCTCCATGTAACGGCTACAGACTGGCCCGCAGAAACCAGATGCCCTCCCCACGCCCAAAACTCAGCTGAACTTCAGGGGTAGTGCTCCTGGCGGTGCTGGCGGCCGACTGACCTTCTGAGTCTTCCCTCCTGGCAGTGCCCTTCGCGAAGAATGCTTGCACGTGAGTACCGGCAAGTAGAGGCCGGCGGAGGGCGCACAGAGGCACCATAGTTCGCTTCTGTTTCCGAACACCCACCTCAGCTGGTTTCAGACTGTAGGTCCTCACCCTAAACCCTAAACCCCTAACCCCTAATGTCTAGGGTTTAGGTCCCCTTCAGGGATTCAGGGATGAGTCTTCAGGATGCAGCTGAAAGCTTCGCCTCCCAGGCTCAAGATGCTAAGCTTTCCGAGGTATGCTAGACTTTTTCGAAGAAGCTTTAGGGTTTAGGCTACCTTTTCGGAGAAACAAGGTACAAAGAGAGTTAAAGCCCCTGGGCATGTTTACAGGATGTCTTGGTTAGAGGTTGTGTGGTTGCAAGTTTAGGGTTTAGGGTTTAGGCCAGACTTGAAGTGTACCGGTGAGGACGAGCACAAACGTACATGGTATGCTCTCGTGCCGCGGCACTTGTCAAGTTTTCACGGTTTGCTTCGCACACTCCCTGCTCACTTGAGAATAGAAAGCTTCTGCTGTTCAGAGTTCAGTTGTTCAAGGTCCTTCGTCCTGCACCCCTAGCTAGGTTCAAGAGTAGCTCCTTCTTGTACCGGTACTCCTTTTCCTACTGCTCTCTTCTAATAAGGAGACCCCAAAATCCTAAGGGCAATAGGGCAGTACTCAGGAAACTAGTTCCATGCAGAGCAGAGCGGACCGACCTTTTGGCCGACAATGCCTAATATGGGGGCCTTAATCATTTGGACAGGTTATTGGGGCTCATTATACTATAACAATACAAAGGAATCCCCAAATCATGGTAATTATTTAAGCTCGCATAGCAACACCCTCCGTAATTTGAAGGCAATCTCAGAGTAAGCAACTGTTTCAACTAGCCCATGGACCCGGAAGCTTCAATCAATCCTAAACACCCTAGACCCGAAACATCCCTAAACCCTAAACGTCCAATCTTCGAGGCCGGTTGCTATGAGATCGTAGTTGGGTAAGACGTCCGTGTCGTTCTCGTAGAGCCCTGGCAGTCCAAAGGCTTCTGGTTTTGAGGATTTTAGGTTTTGGGGTTCGGTTCACTAGTTGAACACAATGAAACGTCCCGCCATTGACGTGAGATGAGCAACTTCTAGGTATCCAACTCTTGCGCTTCTAACTTGTATGCTTGTCGTTTCAGATACTTAGCTAGATTTTTCGGAATGCTTGTTGGCTCTTGGCCTCTGACGGACCTTCGATTCTTCCAGTATTGAGCGACATCTTCCGTTTGCATGCTTTGGCGTTGTGCCCATTCAGAAGATTGAGAACCTGTTCGAAGCTCCATCGAAATCCATAGCGCCTACACACATGATGCATTTACCCACCTATCAACTCTGCATACATGTACACAGCGGTCTGCTTGAAGACCCACATGCATGCACCAGCCCCTTAACATTTTCGAAGAGTAGAGGCAGTGAAAAGAAGCCCAGGTGGCCGTGCCCAATAATCTTTGCAGGGATGAAGGCTCTCTGCGATGCCGAGAAATACCTCGGCAGCTCTTGAATTATACGTACTTTCTAAACTACTCAAGTAGGAGTGTAAACAAGCAGAAGACCCTAGAAGGACCTAGAATCTTGAGGCTTGAACGGCTCTTGCATGTTGTTTCCGTTGTTAGAGGGCGCAGGGTTCAGGATTCTTGGGCTTCTAGCCTGACACACTTTCCTTGAAGGATGGCAAACCCGAGGCCCAAGACATGAGTTTCAGCTCCCAAGTGCCCTGAGGCTTCCAAGTGATCGGGAACCAAAAAATTGAAGCAAGACCTGCTACTTGACAAGTCAAGCTCGTATATCACCGCACTTCCAAGGCAAAGGATAATAAGAGTGCCCTTTGCCTAATATTCAGTTTTAATCAGGGGACCCCAATACAAAGGGGGCGAAAGGAAGCTGCTCAGGAACCTCGACTATGCATCACCGAATCCAGTGTACGTTACTTCCAATTATAGAAACCCTTCGCGGAACCTTGAAAGAAGCCCCGAAAAACACCCAGGCGAGTGAAATCCCCTTGTAGAAACCTGCCCTAAAACCCAGACCCTTATGGAAACCCTACTTCAAGAGCCGAATTGAAAGGCCAGTAAAGGAACCCCGAAAATCCGCGCCCAGCCAAGTGACATCACGGCCTCTCCATCCTTGTACGCCTCGTGGCTGTCCAGCTTGAACCACACGTCCAGGTCGACCTTGCGAATCCGTGTGTCAAAGCGGCCTTCCGAACTCCTTGGAGGATCCTTAAAGGGATCTATAGGGTTCCTTAAAGAGATCTATAGGGTTTAGGGTTTAGGGTCTACTTTGAGGATCATGGGACTTAGTAAGTAAGGTTATAAGTACCTTTATTGGCTATAAGTAGCTATAAGTATAGTTACCCCAATTATAACCCTAGTTACTAAGTCCCATGATCCTTTAAGTAGAGTATAGGGTGACTGTAAAGGGCTCCAAGATAAGGAGTATTACAAGGGATGTTATAAGGCAGTGGTTCCGGGCTTTAACTATCGTGTTGCGTATGTCCCGGTATAAATATACCAAGGAACGCCACGGACTGATACTCTTAGCATTAAGGCCCTGTATCAAATTCGCACTAGACTTCCATCAATCACCACTTGCATGAGGGCCCTGTCATCTGCATGTAGGACGAGACTTGAGTTCAAGAGCCTGCCGTTTCCTCATGCGGGCACCGCTTGCAAGCGTCCAAATAATAAACAGTATATACTCTGTCCCTAAGCATGCCTGATAGAAGGTTGCCGGGGCCCACGCCAAATTGCTAGAGTACTTGGGCCGTTCAAGTAATTTGGTAAGTTGATGAGCAATCCTGTGGTTCTCGTTCCCACCCACATTCTGTGACCCTCAACGCCCTGTACCCTTATCGAACCCTATAGCTTGAGCTGTTTGATTGAGTACTGCCGCAAACCCCAGAATCGGCAATCCTAACCCGCATCCCTGAACCCTAAACCCTAAATCCTAAGACCCAAAAACCCTAAACCACAAGAGCCCCAAGCCTGAAACCGCGTCTTCCTCCACACCGTATTGTAACCTTTACCGTGATAGTAGGGTTGGATAAACGGTCCAGTACTAAGACCCTCTTGCAATCCCTTTGTATTTCTACTATACTACAACGCAACACCCGATTGTAATTACGCAGGCCTTCACACCCTATACAACCCTTACGGAACTCTGATCATCGAATCCTGAAAAGGAGCCTTTGTTCTACTTATTGGCATAATTTAGGAACCTTAGCAATTAGAATCGGGCTTTTGGGGTATATCAATACAAAAAGTAGAATTAGGAACCCAAAATAATATTGGCAACTGTTCAGGCCCCTATAGTAGCAGGGAGCTTTTCAAGGTCGTGGCCTTGGCTTTGTTTCGGATTGAAGGATGCTTTTGTCGAGCACTTCTTCTATGAGGCCAGTAAGTCCCAAGAGGCTTAAAAGCCGGAGCTGCAACCCCCTTACGGTTTAGGGTATCTACTCCATCTACTCCTGCAGCCGGTTCTGAGCATTCACGAATGACCAGCAATTACTGAGGCGTAATTGGGCTTCAAATTGAGCTTGGGGATTTTGGAAGGGTGCGTCGGGTTCTTCGGGTGGAAGAAGGCTTTCATCGGTTTTACAAGGGAACCTTGAATGATGGTTTCTGTTGAGTTCCTGAAGCTTCGGGGTAGAGGGAGCCCGTCACTTCCCACAATTTCTGAAACCTCCAACTGCCCCCTCACCTTGCCAGCGTTTATGACAAGAGTAGCCCACATGCAACCACACACACCCACAGCACACCTTCGATCCCTCCTCCGATCCCTCAACCCCAAAATAGGGGACTCTAATATAATACCCTAAATAGTAGGATCCTTATTGTAAGGGGACCCCTAAACCCTAAACCCTAATATAGTACCCTACCAACCTAAACCCGAAAGACCCGAAAAGAAGGGCCCAGGGCCCTGGCTGTTATGGGCTGATCATCGTCATCAAGGTTGAAGTCCTCTTGGGATTGAAAGTTTAGGGGTTCATGGTCTTGTAGACCTATAGCGTCCCAAGTTCAGGGTTGGATGTTGGGGCATCTTCGGGAAATCCTCAACGCCCGGAGATCTGTTCATCTCGACGACCCAAGGCCTACAGGTCTGAAACTTCAAGCTGGGCGATGACTCTCTTCTCCAATAACCAGGCCCCAAAAAAGTTCAGACTTTGTAAGATAGACCAACTGCAGAAAGCCAAAAAGTTTAAAGTTCTCCAATTGGCTAAGTAAGATGAAGCCTCCCACCCTAAACACTGCGCTCAAAGTGCTCAGCGGCCCCTGGACAGCAAAACTGCTGTAACCAATGCTTTCCGCCAGCTTGCATGGGGTTGGCTTTTAAAGTTTGCACACTCTTCGAGCAATATCAAACCTAAACCCCTGACCCCTGAACCCTTAAACCCTAAACCACAAATCTTAAAACCTAAACCCCACTGCGCGCAGCGAGCCTTCTTTTAGCAAGCTTTCGAGGGCTTAACCAACTTAGGATTTGGGACTTTAAGGTTTAAAGTCTCCTGCATTGGCCTATTCAGGGGCCTCTGTTGCTCGTTTATACCCCTGGGCTTTGGAGAGACCACCGAGAAGCCCAGACAACAACAAACGATTTCGTCTCAAACTGCAGCTTTTCTGCGAATAGGGACCTGAATAAATTAACAGAAGTTCTTATTCAATCATAAAGAACCATGAAGAACAGTGTCAGCCTTTTAGACAGGCAGCTGTATTGTTTAACTCCATGTCATGCAAACGTGTCCAAACCTTTCATCTTGCAAGCAAGAGCTAAACCCTGACCCCTAAACCCTACTTGGAGGATCATGGGACTTAGTAAGTAAGGTTATAAGTACCTTAATTGGGGTTATAAGCATAGTTACCCTAATTCTAACCCTAGTTACTAAGTCCCATGATCCTTTAAGTAACCCTAAAACCCTCTTATAAAACCCTTATAGATCCCTGTTAAGGGACCCTTTAAGGAACCCTAAAGCCCTGAACCCTAAACGGCCGTCGGCCCTCATGGGTGTAGGGCTGAAGCGCGAGCAACGACCACCAAGCTCAAAATCCGCTCTCTTAAACTGCCACGCAAGGGGGAAGGAAAGAGGGGAGGGAGAGGGAGGAGAGAGGTGGAGGGAAAGGGCAGGGAGAGAGGGCTTGCCAGAAGTCCTGGTAAAAGAATTCGGCCTCCCTTGGATCGTCCCCGTCTTCGTCGCCCGAATCGCCATCTTCCTTCCATGTAAGAAGCTCAACAAGTATGCGGCCCGAATATGGACCGCAGACACCAGATCTTTGGATCCTCTACTATTCAGAAAGCTCCGGATTCATGTAGGGGCCTTCATGTCCTGGGGAACCGTATACCTTAACGAGTCTTTAGGGACTATAATGGGGGATAAATCCTAACTAGTACTTCAGACCTCTACATGTGCTACTCCGTTCAAGGCCGTGGCAATCCGATTACATCCTTGGAAATTCGCTCTAATGCTGACATGCATACTAATTCAACCCGTTCCAATCGGACTACAACGAATTCGAGTCGATTGGAACGACCCCGAGCAGGCCAAAACGGATAATGTGTTGGTTGTAGCGTGTTACAACGGATTTAAACGGAGTAGAACGGATTAGCATGCTCTAACAGTGTTCCATCATATACCCCTTCCAACATCAAAACAACACATTTGTAAACGGCAGCCGAGGCTTTCTGAAGAGCCACAGGTCTTTGTGTTGAGCTTATGGGAAGTGTTGTTGTTCGCCTTTCAGCTGAATTCGTAAGCGTTCAAGTTCCAGGTTTAGGCTTTGGGGGTTATCGATTTAAACTTGGGGTTTCAAGGTGCGGCTCATGGTGTGGGAACTGGATTTATGTTTTGGGTCCCTTGTTGTTCAATGGACTAAGACTTGCCGCGACCGCCATCCTCTCTAAACCCTAAACACTGTCCCTAACAGTTAGGACCCTTGTTGCAAGAGCCGCTAGACAAACAACACTGCAGAAACTTTCATAGAAACCTGTAAATACGCACCTCACCAGAAAGAACGCTATTATATGACTTGTCTTTATCCCGGCTACTAGAACTGTACAAACGAATGTGATGTAATCTTTGTCTGCTATATATGATACTATAAGAAGTAGCCGTAGTTTTTGCAACGCTCGTGCAACTCTGCGAACACACTTAACACCACGCTTAAATCCTAAACCCTGAAGCCTCCACCCTTACCTTAACGAACACCTGCTCTCCTAAACATTTATAGAACCCTTATGGATCCCTCTAAACGAACCGTTGCAGATTCCTACTTTGATAACTTTAGCTGTTTCTCCTGAACCCTGCACCGAGAAACCCAAAGCCTCTCCCAAAACAGGTTCTCCGAAACCTCTGTAGAGTCTATACTACTATTTGCTTAAGAACCCCCAAAAAATAAAGAATATATTCCTTATGGGGGTAATATAGGGATTATTATTTTTATTTTTTGGGTGTTTCTTAAGCAAATAGTAGTATAGACTATAGACCCTTTGACGGACCCTGTAAACATGTTTTGTGAAGCCGACTTAACCCCAAAACCCTAAACTTCACAAGACATGTCTCCCGAAACCCCTTTCCGAAACCTCTGCAGAACCCTTAACTACATATACTAACTTCAACTTTGTGGATCCTAACCCCTAAACCCCTTTAAATGATCCTTTCTAAACCCTAAACCCTAAACCCTTTGAAAGGATCCTTTCTAAACCCTAAATCCCTCAACCCCAAACCCCTTTAAAGGATCCTTTCTAAACCCCTCCTTCAGTTCGAACTGTGATTTCGACTCGGCAAGGCGGCGCAAGGTCATCTCGATGGCGCTGGTGATTTCGGGGTTTAGGGTTGAGGGTTTAGGGGGATTTTCAAACGGCCCTGGACCCTAAACCTTAAAGTGTTCTTCTTCGTACTAGCAGGATTACCATAGCTACTGTAGTAGCCCTTTTTGTTTTTGTCTTTAAGGTTTGGGGTTTTAGGGCTTGGTTTCGCTCCTAACCCGTGGAGTGCATTGCGAGTGGGTGAGAGAGTTTCAGGGCTTTAGTGGGCGTTGGGCGGTTTGCCGTATGGGGGCGTGTTGCGTTTTGGGGGTTGTGTTTTGTATTGCGCTTTCGGGTTTTAATCGGTTTTCGTGTTTTGGGTGTTTTAAAGCCTGATGGTTTAGAGTATGATTCGTTTCTCAGGGGTCTTTTGGGGCTTTAGGTCTTTTGGGCCTGGGGCTTTAAGTGTTTTTGGGGTTCAGGGTTTAGGGTGTTTGATTTGTACCCTCCCCTTAAGGGCCTTAAGCTTTGGATCCCGCTTGTTACTCGTTTTCCGCGGGTTGACTGATCCGGGCTCTACACTACAGGAACCAAACGCGCCAAGTAGCCCGGTTTCATGGTGTTTAGTACCCGGTCGTCACCCAAAGCCCCGCATAAAGGAGGACTTCGACCCTTTGGGGAACTTGCGGACACAGCAATGTCCATCTACACATTCATGGCTTTGCTGCTGGAAGGACTCTCCACCTACATCCTGGAACCACGATGCTGGAGCCTAAGCCCAAAAGCCTGAACGAACCCTATTCCCTAAATCTTAAGCACTGAAGCACAACGCTAGAAACCTTAAATGCTATAAGCCTCATCTGCGTTCTTGTTCGGGGATGTAACTTAACTTACTAGAATAGGGATCTAGCGTAAATCATACGGTTTCCGTGGTATAGTCACAAGCTCGAATGATATCAACTCAAAGTTCTCAAGCAAGCCGCCTGCCGATCATCAGAGCGTCTCGACTCCATAGACTCTGAGGTCTTCGACTTGACGACCTCTGGTGACTTCGCACAAAAGCGGGACGTCGACAATGTAAGAGTGGTGATGGGTGTTTTGGGGTTTAGGCTTCATAGCGCGATGCTTCCTATCAAGCAGTACTTGCTGCTTTGCTTGCTGTGCTCCACCCAGAGACTCCAATATCCCTTAATTTAGGAATATTCCGTAAATCGCAATAAGGATCCTACTATAATTTAAGGTATATTCCGTCATTAAGGGATATGGGGATCTCTGGGTACTTCATGATCACGAACGTGATCGTGCTCACAGAAGAGAGGGGTCCCGGTCCCTCCTGGGTCCCTTTGAAAACAGAGCCTGGCACGCAGGAAATCTTCGTTTCTGCGTATTTGGAGGATCCTTAAAGGGATCTATAGGGTTCCTTAAAGGGATCTATAGGGTTCCTTAAAGGGATCTATAGGGTGTAGGGTTTAGGGTCTACTTGGAGGATCATGGGACTTAGTAAGTATGGTTATAAGTACCTTAATTGGGGTTTATAGGTATTATTACCCTAATTATAACCCTGTTTACTAAGTCCCATGACCCTTCAAGTATGGTTACGTTTGAGTTCTGAGTTTCAAGGCGCAACATGTACAGATAATACAGGGGCCTCAACGATTAGAATAGGGTTTTGGGCTACATTATACAATAACAATATTAAGGACCCCCAAAATAGTATTGGTACTTATCAAGGCCCCTATATTAGAGCAATGCCACAGTCCGAAGGACTGCAAGATATCAACCTCTGAGTAGTCGGCTCCTCCACATGGGGGGTTTCCGAAAATAGGGGACCCCAATATAGAACCCACATCTGCATATGGCTGGTTTGGGGTAGGTAAATCACCGCCCTGGCTCCTCGTATGTTTCTTTAGTCTACACTCGAGTACACCTTAATCCCCGAAGCTCGAAACTCGACGACCCTGAACCCTAAGACCCTAAACATGCAACCCCTAAACCCTAAACCCCTAAGACCCTAAACCATCCCTAAACGCTCCCTGCCTGACGCTGGTCTGTCCAGCTGAGATTTGTCTTCACGGCTTTCCGGGAGTAGTTCTGGTCCTTGGGGTCAGCTCAAGCTCAGAATGCCGCCGAGCGGAGACAATCCTAAACTGTAATATAGAATAGGGTTCCTTTAGAGGGTCCTTTAAACGGGTCTATAGGGGGTATATCGTAGAGTTCTATAATATAGGGGCCTTAATCATTAGAATAGGGTCTTGGGGCCCATTATACTATAACTACAATAAGGAAGCCCCAAAATAGTATAGGTAATTATCAAGGCCCTTGTAGTAAACCCGAAATAAACCGCCAAACCCTTAGCCTTATATCCTGAACCCTGACCTGAAATTCTACTTTAGACTCCTGAAGCCCCAAACTCGTCTTGATGGCAAGACGACGACTCTCTGCAAAGCTTGGTAGAAACTGGAGCAACGAGGACTGATGATGAAGCCCCTAAACCCCAAACTAGAACCCTAAACCCTAACCTTAAACCTTAAAGCCTAAACCCGTAAGCAAGCTGCGGCAACATCTTCCAGCATCTCCTCCGTGATGTCCCACTTAACTACGACCTTCGGCTTGTCCTCCCGGTGCGTGGCGGTTCTAGGATTCTGGAGGGTGATCCCAAAGCCCTACACCTTGAAAACCTCAAAGATGCTAAAGCCCAAGAGCGACATGGCACCCAGAAGAACATAGTAAGCTCACACTGCTCTTGCACAAGCAACTCAGCAGCATGTTGCGGCCTGAATCCCAAAGCTCCTGCCTGCAGCCTCATCACAGAAACCCAAACCCTTTCAGCGGCTTTAGGCGCGAACCCCCTGGCAAGACTGTGACCCAACACCTTGACCCACCAAACCCTGGCAACATACCAGAACACCTCCGCCAACAACTCTGCAGACCCGAAGGACTACCGGCCAAGAACGGCAAGCCAGGGTTTACAACAAGTACAAAGCAAACGAAGGCAAGGAGGGCTAGAACGTCATCCTCAGCATCATCCTAGACTCAGATCTATCGGAGCTCTGAATGTAACTGCCCGATGTGGATGTTTCCAAGATCTGAGCCTGACTACCTGCACTTGCGCAGTGCCTTCAACGAGCACCCCACAAAGATCGGTCGGACACCAGCCCCTGTTCAGGCCTTGAGCCCCTTTTCAGGCCTTGAGCCCCTTTTCAGGCCTTGAGCCCCTGTTCAAGGCATGCATCTTGAGAATCAAGGCTTAAGCCACTCACCCTCTAATTGGGCCCCTCAAAAAGCACATACGCAAAAATTAGGATAGCGATACAGTATCCCATATAAACCCCTGTATAATGAAGCCCACTAAGGTAGGGATATCCCTATAACATGCTTATGCTTCTGTGCCTTTTTTGGCCCCTCATCGAAGGAGGCTAACATGCCGAAAGACCCGCAGAGATCTCCCCCCTAAACCCTAAACCCCCTAAACCCTAAACCCTAAACCTTAAACCCTAAACCCTAAACCCTAAACCCCCAAAACCTTTTTCCCTAAACCCTAAACCCTAAACCTTAAACCCTAAACCCTAAACCCCCAAAACCTCAAACCTGCCGGGGCCTTTCTAGAGAGGCCCAACTTCTGCGACGTGCCCGACATGCCCGAAGCTCCCCGCGGCAGTGAGGGCGCCTGAGACGAGGGATTCATGTCAATAAGATTTCAGGCATAGAAGCGCCATCTGGGAGTGTCCGGTACCTTAGGGTTTCTGTACTATAATACTATAAGGCATAGAACCCAGGGACTCCAATATCCCTTAATTAAGGAATATACCTTAAATCATATTAGGGATCCTACCATAATTTAAGGAATATTCCTTAATTAAGGGATATTGGAGTCTCTGGGTAGAAGCCTCGCTGCCCTGAATCATCCTCAATGCCACGCAACAGATTGCACTCACCCTAAACCCTGAACCCTAAACCCCAGACCCCCGAACTCCAAACCCAAAACGCTTAAAGCCCTAAACCCAAGAACCCTGAACCCTGAACCTAGGACCCCGAACCCTGAGCCTGAACCCTAAAGCCTTAAACCCGATACCCAATACCACGTAACTGTACTTCTAACTGCTTCTAACCCCAATTAAGGTACTTTTTTCCATACTTACTGAGTAGACCCGTGCAAACCCTAAACACTGTAGATCCCTGATCCCTGTAAGGAACCCTGTAGATCAAATTTAAGGAGCCCTATAGATCCCTTTAAGGAGCCCCTCCAAATAAGCCCAATGCCATGTAGCCGATTCTACTCCTTCTACTCCTACTACTGCTTCCAATACTACTACTATTAGTACTACTACTACTACTACTACTACTACTACTACTACTACTGCTACTACTACTACTACTACTACTACTACATCCTTCATTGCACAGCAAGGAACCGATTGCACTGCATCCTCCTTGTCTCTTTCCCGGAGGCTGCACTCGAACCTCAGCTCTGGAACTCCCGGTGCTTTAGGGTTTTTGAGGTTTTAGGGTTTTGGGTTCAGGTTTAGGGGTTTGGGAGGGGAAATAAGGGGTCCTTTAAAGGGTACTATGAGGGTTCTACATAGGGTGCTTTAGGGGGGCTTAGGGGGGCTTTAAGGGGTTTAGGGGTTTTAGGGGAATCTAGAAGGGTTTAAGGGGTTTAGAGGCTTAGGGTTCAGGGTTCAGGGGTTTAGGGGAATAGGGGTCAGGTTTTAGGGTTTTAGGGGTTTGGGGTCTTATGGGGTTTGGGAGGGGGTTTAAGGGTCCTTTAAAGGGTACTATGAGGGTTCATCTAAGGGATCTATAAGGGTGGATCTAAACGGTACTATAGGGTATGGGGTTTAATGTGTTAAGGGTTTGGGGTTTCGGTTTGGGGTTTGGGGGGTTAAAAAGTTTTAGGGCCTGGGGGTTTCAGGGTTTAGGGATGTTTAGGGGTTCAAGGGTTTAGGGTTTTAGGCTTTAAGGGTTTAGGGTTTGGAGGTTTAGGGTTTGGAGGTTTAGGGTTTCAAAGTTTCAAAGTTTAGGGGTTAGGGACTTGGGGTTTAGGGTTCAGGGTTTCAGGTTTTTAGTGGATCAGGGGTTCAGGGGTTTAGGGCCAGAAAGGGTGGAACCAAAGCAAGAGCAACTCAAACCATGGGACCCTTACATAGTCAATGCTCTGACGTTTCGTTGATGACACCTCTCTGTACACCCACACGCGACCCCTTATCACCTTCCACTGGCCTTGAGGATGTAGGTGTCTCAATGCCGGCCCCGAGCATATACTAATTCCCTCAACCCAAACCCACTGGACCTGCCACTGCGTGCATGGCGGGACATCGCACATTTGCTCAATCCTCCCACCACGACTCAAGACAAAAGCATCTGTCTCGCCTACGGCACCCATGTCTCCAACGATGGGCCAGAACTCGTATGTGACACCCATATAGGCACACAGTAGGATTCCGAAGATGCCCATCGGTGAATGCAAAACCCAATGCCCCTGCGCACAAAGCCCGGAAGTTTAAACCTTCAGGTCCCAAACTGAACTTCTCCCAGCCCCATCCAAAAATTCCCCTGGCCGTGGGGCCCAACATGCCGTACCTGGCCGTCACGGCTCACAAGCCTCACCTCAAGGTTCGTCTTGCAGCGTAAGCTGTCCAATTTTCTAGTGGGAGTCGGATTGCACGTCTGAAAAGATGCGTTGCTGGGTTGTATGCTTCCGGTTTAGGGTTTAGGGGTTAGGATTTAGGGTTTAAGGGTTTAGGGTTGGTCATGGAAGCAGGCATGGTTAGGGCCTGAGGATGTCGGAGAATCAAACTTTAGTGCGTTTCATCCTATGAAACCCAGGGAAATCGCATAAAACCCCTTGAAACTCCTTCTCCGGAGTGTCTAAAGCCCTTCATAAACTACTTACAATACCCCCTAATTAAACCCTAAACCCCGAAACCACTGAACCAGAGCTCTTAAGCCCCTACCTACAAAGCCACTGTAGAAGTCTCGAAATTGAAATCCATAAACCCCAACACCCTTAATAACACCCTAAACCCCTAAACAAACCACAAAACCCCAAACCCCTACATAAAACCCTAAACCCTAAACAAATTCCAAAGCCCTAAAACCCGCAAATAAAGCCCTAAACCCCTAAATAAAACCCTGAACCCTAAACCCCAAAATAGAACCTTAAAGCCCCTAAGGTAAAAGCCAGAAAGTTGGAATATGACTATCCTAAACCCTTTATGGTAAATTATAGGGTATCCTACAAAGAAAACCATGTTCCAACTTTCTGGAGTTCCCTGTAACCCCTAAACCGTCTCGAAAGCTGCCGTGCCACATGCCCCGACGTTGGGGCGCGAACACGCCGGAGCCAGGGGCTACACATCTGAGAGGAGAAGAAGGGGCTTCGGGTTTAGGGGTTTGGGGGTTTAAAGGATTTTAGGGGGTTCTAGGGGCTTTAGGGTTAAAAGGGTTTAGGGTTTACGGGGTTTAGGGGTTTAAGGGGCTTCGGGTTAAGGGGTTTTAAGGGTTTAGGGGATTTTAGGGGGTTTAGGGGTTTCAGGGGGTTTAAGGGGTTCAGGGGTTTACAGGTGGGAGTTAGGGCTGAGGGGTTTAGGGTTTAAGGCTCTAGGATGCTGGCTTTGGGCTTCCGGGCTTAGGGTTTAGGGTAGCCCTCTCTGACATTCTCGAAGCTTCCTGTCAGCCTGCCCTTTTTAAAGCTTTTGCTTCCCTGGCAAGTCTCCAGACTTCAGGATCCGAGACTCCTCGAAGCCCAAGAGGACTCATGCCAAGGATACGGTTGATGATATAAATCCTGCATTGCCATAAGGACCCTAAACTCAAGGAATTATGGTGTATTTTATTATGTTTATATCATCAACTAAGGAACCAAGATCAGTCAAGGAGACACAAAACAAACACCCATGCTGTCAAGCTGCTCTAACCCTTGCGCATATGTATGTATGCATGTGTGTATGTATGCGTGCATGCAAGCATGCATGCCTGTGCTGTGAAAACGACAGATGTATGCATGCATGTATACCTCTCTCTTCATAGGTATATATATATATATCTATCTATCTATATATATATATATATGTATATATATATATATAAAAATACGTATGCAGCAGACATATCTCGAATCCCTGGATCGTGGCTGTGAATGAGACTGGCGTGATCTAAACTTCCAGATTCAGAGTATAGCGGCGCTGAGTTCAAGTAGGAGCCGAGGACTCGAACTGAGTATGTAGGTTCTGCGATTGAAACCCTGAGTTTCAAGCTGGACAAACAACCCTCCCCGCCCACCCCCGACAGGTTTACGCGGTAGGGTTTGCGGAACCCCTCCCACCACGCAGAGGATGAACACCATGCCCAGGGTGACGCCGATGGCAGCCATGTACCCAGACACGTTCCTGAGGAAGGGGTTGCAGTGGGCTTTAAGCAAAGACGCTGCCTAATCCCCCAAGCCCGAATACGTCTTGAACCCAAACCATAGTGCATAAACCGATAAACGCAAACGACAGCCAAAAGGCTTGTATTTTCGAAAGCGGAAGTTTAGTTCAAGCATTTTTTCGTGTCCTGCCCAGAGCGCGACGGCCCGAAGCATCGCAACGACGCTCCAACCCAGTACTAGTACCGCAAAACGTAATACCACAATGTAGTATAATATCCCAACCATCTCATCTTCCATGAGCCTTAGAAAGATTGGAGGAAATCAGTGACCGGATGTCTCCCAATTTGCTTCGAGATCTTAGCATCCTGAGAAAAATGCCCATGAAGCCCTCGAGTGCCCGTGAATGATCAGAGGGACCTATACTTCCTTGAATATGCCTTATTAAGTCCTTACTATGGGTATTAAGACGCCCTACCCCCAGAATTTAATTTGAGTTACCATAATAGGGGTATAGAGTAAGTGATACGGTTTCTTTACACTGAATTAAACCTCGAGCCTCAACCCTATATAACCCCGAAAGGTCCCCTATGAAATGACATTTGCGAGTTGCAGGGCGTTGTCATCGCTCTCGTGGAGTAGATCCAGTGGGAGGCTCTGGATCAACGCAAACATAGACCTAAGAATTGTTTCGGGTTTAGGGTTTTAGGGTTTAGGATTCAGGGTTTAGGATTGGTGGTCTTGTGAGGTTTTGTGATGTAGACCCCCGGGTGGCTATGGGATTAACATGGGCAGTTGTCTGGATTCGGGTCCCATGTGGGATTCCCCCAAAGAAGCGTTTGCAAATTCGTCAGAAGTAAACGTGATGTCATTGCAGGGACGCTTCTTGTTATCTATCCTGCTACCCGCTTTGGTTTGCGATTACGTAGCCTTCCCAGTCATAACAGGGGTTTGGGCTATGTTGTGGTAGAACTACTATATGGACTGTAAGGGGATGCAGTACTATTTATGCATTCACACCTCCATGAAACCGCTCCAAAAGCCGTATAAACAAAACTATTCAGCACTCATATGACATACTCCTTTAAAACATATAGTACCCTTTATAATTCCTGCCTCTTCCCGTTGGAGCTTGAGATTTTGGCTTCGCCCTTGCACGAGTTGAGGCTTCAGGTACACTGATGCCCTAAATACCAAAAAGCAAACGAGCATGGCTTCAAGTCAGTGCTGAGGGTTCAAGATTTAGGATTGGGGTTTGGGGGTCTAGATTGCAGATGACTGGCTTAGGGTTAAGTCAGCGTGTGCAGAACGGACAAAGAAAGGTTCCTTTATCAACTGCCTGGCGAGGTGCGTATGCGTCGTCACGCACCAGGATACGTTGGCTCCATCTGGATCGTCAGTGTAGCTGCCATTCACAAGCCTGTATCATGACGTGCTTCGATTCTGCTCTTGGGAACTTCTGGTGTGCGGCATTAACCCCTAATCTCTTAAATCTTTCTCGGGCCTGCTCTTAAGACCTGCTCGGACTACTCTTATAGCTTCGCAAAGAGCTGCAACGCTTGCAGTCTTGAGAAAGTGCTGGCAGTATTTGCCTAGTCGAATTGGAGAAGGCAGCTGTCACAGAGCAAAAACGAAATACATAATCTCCAACAGTAGAAATAGCAGAATAAGAGTACAAAAAAGACACAACACCAGGATCAAGCAGCACTAGGAGGAGAAGGAGCGGAAGCAGCATCGCAAGTCGCAGGAACAGAAGCAAACCCAGACACGACCATCAACCAAGACAGCAGTATCTCATTACAATGCAACCAACAGCAGCATCAGCACCTGCAGCAGCAACAGAAGTGCTGGCAGTGGAAGCAGCCACACCCGAAGCCAAAGTCAGCAGTGGCAGCAACGGCAGTATGCAGGACTACTTGCAACTGTTTAAACACCATTGACTTGAATTCTGGATGAACTGAGATCCTTTCGCTAGTGACGAAGACGAAGGCCCAGGATGATGACGGTGCTGGCAATGGGTAAGGAAGTGGCTTAGTAAGTAAGGTTATAAGTACCTTAATTGGGGTTATAAGTATAGTTACCCTAATTACAACCCTACTTACTAAGTGCGATCGTTTTTGATGTCATGACGAAGGTTATTGCGACTACACGGACGGTTCTTGCACATTGACGGTGCCTGCTGACACCTCCGGCATACCCGGCTATGTCGGCTTGCGGTCGCTCTATCAGTATCCGGCACACTGATAAAGCATGGTCGCCATCGCCATAAGTTGATCATCTCAAGACTGGTTCGAAACCTCGATAATGCAGGGCAAAGCTCAATAGCGACACCCAATAGCATCCAGGCCTACGACAAGAAACGACTGGCCGAAGACGAAAGTAACAACACCTGAACCACCAATACCAAGAACAGGAGAAATCTCAAACCTCTCTCCCGAAATGCTACCTCATCAAGGGGGAAGAACTTAGGGTGTCTGGGGTTCAGGTTTAGGGGTTTACTCCCAACCTGGAGAGCTCCGGGGTCAACAGTCACTTCTTGCTCCTACACGTCCTACACCCCCCGAAAGCCTTGAAATCACTTGCAAGGTCTTGAGTCTGCGGTCGGGAGACTCCATTCCGGCATCCGACCAGGCGTTTAAGACAGGATCGAAGTAGCTACACCTCTCAGGGAGGCTTCGGCATAGAGCTCGAGGTTTTAAGGGCTTTGGCTTAGAAGCGGGTCTCTTCCTCCGTCGCAAGGCAGCATCTAATTCCTAGACAAGCAGAAGCTCAAGGATGAATGGCTTCTTCGGTCATATGGGAGCTTCCGAAAATTGGGGGTACCTTATTTTGGGTCCTTATGACAAGGATCCTACTATTTAGGGTACTATATTAAGGTCCCTAATTTTCGGAACCTCCCATGTTGCAGACGTAGGGTTGCAAGACAGGGCTGTCTCGTCCAGCTTTGGAGGGCATAAGCAAGTACAGGGACATACCCGAGAAGAAGCAGCTATCAGGCTTCCTCTGGGCCAAGGACAGGGTGAACATGAATCAAAAGGAGAAGCTGCTCCCGTACCTCAGAATATTTAGTCCATAGAATCTAAGGAAAACTTGCGGTGTGTCGGCGAGTGCTGCTCCCCACTTGGAGGATCATGGGACTTAGTAAGTAAGGTTGTAAGTACCTTAATTGGGGTTATAAGTATAGTTACCCTAATTACAACCCTAGTTACTAAGTCCCATGATCCTTTAAGCAGAACCCACAAGCGACTCACAGCTCAAAGGCACCTCTCTCCCGGAACTGGCGGACGGTTCGTGATGGTGAAGCCGATGGGCACGCTGCCATTCACCTGCACTGGGCTTCTGGCTCCGAAGCCACGGAAGATGAAGCACCATCTTCCATCCCTAAACCCTAAACTCTAAACCCTAAACCCAACTCCATGCTTCTTGACTCTTCTGGGAGGACTGGGATACTTTTATTGGGCTGCTTGCATTGAGATGATCACCAATTCCCAAGAATCACTCCTCAAACGATAACAAGAAACGAAGCTGGCTTTTTGGCCAAGCCCAATACCTGTGCCATGGCCCTGGAATCATGGGGCATGCTTCGCGTTGAGACGGCGGTCTTACCTACCGGAAATATCCAGTGTGCGTCTCTCTGTTGGTTGATTCATTCCTTTTTTAATTCACACCTTTTTGATTCACACACTCTCTCTGCCTCTTTCTCTTTTTATCCCTCTCGCTCTCGGTCTCGCTGGCTGTCGTTTTTTTTTTTTTTTTTTCTCTCTCTCTCTCTCTCTCACACTCTGTACTGCGAATGAATACTTCGGCCTCCACCAACCGGAGCGTGCCGCTGACCTGCGTCCCCGGGAACCACAGGCGTGGAATGACTCAAGGTGTGACCAGGTGTGTGGTCTGCATTTTGTGCGCAGTTGCTCAGCAGGTATCATTCGATGTAGCACCACAGAAAAGAAGACAAGCTGAGATAAGACAAAATGTGACTCTTTCAGCTCCATTCCCAAACCCTAAACCCTATAGATTCCTTATAGGAAGCCTTAAAGGAACCCTTATAGACCCCTTCAAAGGTACCCCTAATTTTCCCTTATAGGAACCCTTATAGACCCCTTCAAAGGTACCCCTAATTTTCCCTTATAGGAACCCTTATAGATCCCTTCAAAGGTACCCCTAATTTTCCCTTATAGGAACCCTTATAGATCCCTTCAAAGGTACCCCTAATTTTCCCTTATAGGAACCCTTATAGACCCCTTCAAAGGTACCCCTAATTTTCCCTTATAGGAACCCTTATAGACCCCTTCAAAGGTACGCCTAATTTTCCCTTATAGGAACCCTTATAGATCCCTTCAAAGGTACCCCTAATTTTCCCTTATAGGAACCCTTATAGCCCCCCTTATAGCCCCCTTCAAAGGTACCCCTAATTTTCCCTTATAGGAACCCTTATAGACCCCTTCAAAGGTACCCTAATTTTCCCTTATAGGAACCCTTATAAACCCCTTCAGCGGTACCCCTAATTTTCCCTTAAAGGAACCCTTATAGCCCCCTTCAAAGGTACCCCTAATTTTCCCTTATAGGAACCCTTATAGATCCCTTCAAAGGTACCCCTAATTTTCCCTTATAGGAACCCTTATAGATCCCTTCAAAGGTACCCCTAATTTTTCGGAAACTCCGTAGGAATGTAAGCTGAACCCTCAGAGTCTCATCGGAGGAGCAGGCCTCATTCACGAAGGAGAAGTCCACCACAGGAGAATGGAGAACTACCTGTTTAGGGTTTAGGGTTTAGTTTAGGGTATAGGGTTTAGGGTTGGGGTTTAGAGTTTAGAGTTTAAACTCGGCTTCTCCGCAAAGCCTACACTTAGGGCTCACCTTTATCATCTTGATTCAAGACCTAGGCTGTTGGGCAGAGGAAGATGTGCCATGACAAGGTGCACCGTCAGACGGACGATCTGAAATGTAGAGCGTGCGGATTTCCGACCGGTCCCTCCAAGCCTCCTAAACCCTAAACCCCTAAACCCCTTAACCCCTAAACCCTAAACCCCTAAACCCCTAAACCCTAAACCCCTAAACCCTAAACCCCTAAACCCTAAACCCTAAGCCCACAAGTTCTATGCTCTCACCGTGACCACGGTAGCAAAATCAAGAACCTTTGCCCTCCCCGAAGGGTTTAAGTTTAGGTCAGATGGGACCTTCCGGACCTATACTTTGAGGATCCTTAAAGGGATCTATAGGGTTCCTTAAAGAGATCTATAGGGTTTAGGGTTTAGGGTCTACTTTGAGGATCATGGGACTTAGTAAGTAAGGTTATAAGTACCTTAATTGGGGTTATAAGTAGTTATAAGTCTAGTTACCCTACATATAACCCTAGTTACTACATCCCATGATCCTTTAAGTAGGGCCTAAATAATTACCAGGACTATTTTGGCGGGTTCCTTACTATAGCTTTTAGAATAACGGGCCCCGAAACCCTATTCTAATTATTTTGGCTCCTATAATATGGCTGCAACCGAGCACGGACCCCATGTTTTTTTCGAAGCCTAGGGCCCGCACACATCCTCTGAACTTCAACCCTATGGCAAGCTTGCACAATGCGACTGTTATATTCTGCAGTCGAGAAAGATCATTGAATTGTCCGGTTGGTAGGAATTGTAGCCGCAACAAAGTCAAAGGCAAGAGGCTATGCAGTGGGCAAAAGCAAGTAAGAGAGCAGCTGTACTGCTGGCTAGGACAGGAATGGGATTGGCCATGCCTTGTCTCCAGTTTCAGCACCCGTTGGTATTCCTCTGGTCACCTCTTCTGTCACCTGCACCATGCGTCCAGGGGCTGTAAACCCTAAACCCCCAAACCGGACACGAGTAAGCGATGAGGCTTCAGGGTAGTGTTCAGGGTTGCGTGGCCCTAGTATGGGCTCCTGGTTCTGTGGGAGGAAGTGGGTTCAACGGGTTGCCATTGTCGGACCTAGGAACCCTTGAAACCCTAAACCCAACCGAGGCAGTGACCACCCATCCCACTTGATGGAACCTGACCTCTGAGTAGTCCTTGTGGGATGTTTGCGCAATCCCGACATGTGACAAGTCCCAAGCGAAAGCCACACTTGGAGATCGGATCTGTTTTGCCGATGCTGCACTCTGGAACTGCAAGAACTTGTCTTGATGCTTTTGGGGCGGGGGTAGGTTGCATCGGGCAGCTACGAGTTGATGGGTGCCCGTGATCTTTGTGAAATATTATATAGGGGCCTTAATACTTAGAATAAGGTTTTGGGGCCCATTATACTGTAGTTACAGTTATAGTAAGGAACACCCAAAATCGTAATTGGCACTTATTTAGCCCCTATAGTAGCCTGGCCTGCGAAGGCACCGGTACCTCAAAGTACGAAAGGCATCCCGTTCTGGACGACGCAGAGATCGGTGGAGGGCATTCAATAATTGGCCTCCCCGTTTTATTTTTGAACCCTCGTGTCTTTTCACCGCAAGGCATCCAGGGGGAGGCTTAGGGTTTAGGGTTTGTCGTTCTATCCCTGCTCCTGCGGCGTTGACATGGCCACGAGAAGCATAAAGGCTTCTGATGAAGCTTCAGTCTCTGCCTCTGTCATCACCATGATGGTGTTGCCCGCGGTTGACAGATTCTGCAGCAGATCTTGTGGCACAACCACCTTGGCAGTTTTCGGAGGGCAAGGGATGCGAGAGGACACTTCACATTGCACCCTGAATTTCCTAGTTCGGTAGTCTCATTAGGGTCATGGGCTCCTCGCATGCGGGTTTGAGCGAGAACAAGGGCAAAACAGCCTGTTCCGTCAGCCCAAATCACGACCATCTTTTCGAGGGTTTCGGAGCTGCTGTCATCCCCACTGTGTTTGGCAGTCTTCTAGCTCTCCGCTCCTGTCATCTTTTTTGGTTTTGCCAATCTCGTCAGAGTTTATACTATAGCTATGATAAGGAACCCCCAAATAGTACCCTTATAGATCCCTTATAGTAACCCTTATAGACCCTTTTAAAGGAACTCTACTTGAAGGATCATGGGACTTAGTACGTAAGGTTATAAGTACCTTAATTGGGGTTTTAAGTATAGCTACCCTAATTATGACCCTAATTACTAAGTCCCATGATCCTTTAAGTGATCTGTTTGCCTCTTTGGGCCCTTCCACCACGCGCTCGGCTCGCCACAACTGGCCCGGACAGCGAATCCCAAACTTTGGTAGCAACGTAAGCACAGTAGTACAACACTTCTAATTAGCATTGACGTTCTGAAACCGACCAGCTCTCTGTTAGCAAGGTGCACTCATCGTCCCTGACCCACTCGTCCGTTCGAGGGTGAGCACCGTCCTTGGCGAATCTAGCTGGGAGGCCGTAGAGCTTAGGCAGGTGGACTCAGGGTTTGGAGTTTAGGGGTTGAGGGTTTAGGGCTTTAGGGTTTATCGTTCCTTCTGTTGCCAGGTTACTCGTAACTTGGTGGCTTATAGTTTACGTTTGGCTAGACTGCTAGACCCGCCGCCACCCTTGCTCGGCGAGCAGCGATGTTTCGTTTTCGGCCGGCGCCAGCTTGACCGCAGTGACACGGCCTGATTCCGGATCCTATAAGGGTTCCTTTAAAGGGATCCTATAAGGGGTCCTTTAAAGGGATCCCGAAGCTCGATGCGCGAAATGCCTCAAACCCTGTGCAAAGCCTTCAAAACCATGACTATAAACACGCGAAATCCTCCAAATTCTGAACCTGGATCCGAAAACCAATAAGGTTTACGTGGGCAGAATCCTGGGGGGTGGAAGCATGCCTTCGGCTTCAGATAACCCTAAACCCTAGACCGGGAGGCTGTTATGCCTTGGGGGTCTTCCAAGGGTCAGAGACCTTCCGCTGTCGCCTAGTACTATAGCGGCCTTGATAATTAGAATAGGGTTCCCTATAAAGGGATCCTTAAAGGGCTACTGTCAGGGCTACTGTAAGGATGTAGTATAGGGGGCCTTAATAGTTCCAATAGGGTTTTGATCATAATAAGGAGCTCCCAAAACAGTGTTGGTATTTTGTAGGCCCGTACACTGAACCCCACTATAAATCCCCTAAGTTATTCCGTCAAGGGACCCCCCAAAAGGGAACTCTTATCAAGGCACGTACGTAGGCGGTCAGTAAGCCTGCAAGGTAACTTAGAGCCGATCTCCCAGCCTGTTTCCGTGTCCGCCACGAGCATCGATTCCTTGGAGTTTTTTTTTTTAACTCCTTTTTGATGACTGCAAACCTTGGAGTTTAGGGTTTAGGGTTCTTTAGGCAACTCTTCTAGGATCGTTCGAGACCTTCACACTGCATTTCCGCGGATTTCAGATCTTGAGCTGTGTGATTGGTACTTAGAGGATCAGGGGACTTAGTAAGTAGGTTTAAATTGGGGTTATAAGTCACCCCTAAGTGGGGTTATCCTAGTTATATCCTACTTATAACCTTACTTACTAAGTCCCATGAGCCTTCAAGTACTGGCCCTCTTGACAGGCCGTCTGTGCAAAAGCCCTGCTTCTCTACAAGTGCAGCGATCTTAGTAAAGCTCGAAGTGAGGCCCCTGTAAAGAAACCCTATACGGACGGTACAACACACCAAAAAGTCCCAAGAACCGAGAAACTGCTGGATCTTTGGTTAGGAGCTCAAGCAAGCTGAGGCCCCCAACCAGAGTTGAATGCCCCCGAAGCTCTGGGGTTGTGATCATCGCAACGAATTTAATTTCGGGCACGTGTTGGGCTCACCCCCACAGGTTCAAAAAACCCTGCATAAACCCATTTCGCACCGAGATGTCTCGCACACCGATCCCACAAAATCACACGTGCTGAGCTCCGCATCCATCAAGAAGCAAGAACCATGATTAAGAAATGTGGATCCGAAACCCCAAGTCCATCTTTTAATTTATGTGAAGTGTGCAGGGTTTGGAAATGAACGGGTGCCGGTGCGGCTACTCTGGTGGCTGGGTGTTCGAGCTCTTGTTTAGTTAGCGTTGAGGGTTGAGGGTTACGCTTAGGTGATTGACAGCGCCACGAAATTGTTGCAAGTCTACTGGCTTGGCTACTCATTCCCAACTGTCCCGAAGCCCTAACATAGGGACCCTACTTAAGGCCTCCATACTGAGCCCCAAACCTCGGCATCCTCTAAGCTAAGGCCTTGTAATTGGGCACTTCAGCGCTATGAGGCGAGTCTCGTTCAAGGCAGTCAGGGAGAGCGCCGCCTCCAACGACTGAACCAACACCTGCGAGCAAGACATCATAGGGGTCAAGGGTACCCTTGCAATCAAGATGTTGCAAGATTTGTGGATCTTGAAAGCAAGAAGGAATACAGAGAGCCTGCCTGGTAGCTTTTCAAACGCTCCTTTCTGAAGAAAACCTCTCCTTGCAAGTGTCACTCGTCCTGTAGGCCACGGGACTTAGTAACTAGGGCTATGATTAATTGGGGTAACTATACTTATACATACTTATGACCCCTATTATGGTACGTATAACCCTACTTAATAATAAGTCTCATGATCCTCCAAGTTCCTGGAATCAGGCCAAATCTATGAAGCTGCGACGAAAGCCGCAATCCCAGCAGCACCTGGACCCTGAACACACACCGTTGAAAAAAGCCTTTGCATCCTGTTGGAGGAACGAGGGCCGCCTTGATAAGCTTTATGCTTTAGGTTCTAAGGGTTTAAGGTTGGGAATGTGATAAGCTTTACTAGTACGGTGTCGATTTCAAGAATGCTTATAGTTAGGGCTCTATATTGAACAATAAGGGAAGTTGGAAATTATCCAAATCGATACGTGGTTGATGCAGTGTGTTCTGGGTTTAGACTTTATGGCCTTATTTTACCAGCTCAATTCTCCTAGCTTCATTGAGCCCAAACCAACACTGCCCGGACCGTGGATTGTGGGCGCAGAATTCGGAATCTTCTCTGGTGCTCACTCGCCACTTGACGTCCTGACACCTTGTGGACTAACAGCCCAATGCACACAGGCGAACTTGCATATCTCGAAGCCTCTTCCTTATATACATCCCGAAAGACATTTCGAATTTTCAGGAGGACCAAGGTCCAAGATGAATGTTCACGGAAATCAGGGCGTTGCGAAAAGCCTGCAGTTTCATCGAGGCTATGGTAATGCGGACTTCTCCTCCTCTGATGGGAGGCCAAAAGCGGGGTTTAAGATTCTTGGGGTAGGGATTCCTTAATAGGAACCCTATTACGGGAACCTCAATCCCTACTAAACCCCCATAGGCCACAACCCGATGGATCCAAACCGTCTTGACGGCATAAATCCTTCATGTAGAGCCCCCAAAAGCACATAAGCAACACTTAGGATAGGGACATCCCTATAACATGCTTCTGCTGCATATGCTTATGCGCTGTTTGGGTCCCTAATCATGGAACTCTTGGCAGCCTCCCCACCGTAATGCACTGAAGAACCCTGGGTTCTTGTTAGAGAGTTTAATGTAAGTTACCATCTATAACTAGTAATATGGTTTCCGTATTCTGGTAACTTAAACTGAGTTCCTAAACCCCAGTATCATCGAACCCTACTATAGATCCCCTATAGACCCCTTTAAAGGACCCCCTAAAGGAACCTCATACTAAGGAGTATAGGCCCCAAAATGAAGGCACTGAAGAAACCCTTAGCCTGGCTCCCCTCAAGATTTCACCCCGGCGCTGAAGCGCCTCCCCCTGTGTGGTGTTCTGCAAGGTGTCGGGTATCACCTGATTCTGGAAGTTTAGAGTTTTTTTTTTTAAAGTGCAGTGGGGCCTTTTAGTTTAAAGTTGAGGGATTAGGGTTTAGGGATTCGGAGTTTAAGGGTTTAGGGGTTTCGGGGTTTAGGGTTTGGGGTTTAGGGGTTTAGGGTTGGGGCTCATAGCCATAAAGTCGAAGCAGCCGGGACCCAGGGTGTGAGGGAAAATTTGCCTTGAACGGCTTTGGGCATCACCAAACCCCAAACCCTTAACCCTAGACTTCACAAGCCTTAAACTCTGACCCCTAAAACTTCCTAAACCTTGAGGCCCTGAACCCTAAACCCCTAAAGCCTAAAGCCATAAACTTCCTAAGCCCTAAACCCTAAACCCCTAAAGCCATCAACTTCCTAAGCCCTAAACCCTAAACCCCTAAAGCCATAGACTTCCGAAGCCCTGGGGCCTAACTGCGGAAACTCGGAACTCGCATGCAATGCCCTGCAGACATGGAAGCCAAAACCCCAAACCGCCAAATCCGAAACACCAACATAGGACTAGGGTTTTGAAATATATTGTACTATATGACTTTAACCTAATAAGGAACCCTGCGGAATAGTATTGGTAGGTAATTTAGGCTTCTCTACTAACCCGAGCCTCCTGAACCCAACATGAGAACCCCCGGTCCCCAAACCAAACATCCAAAGCGTCCCAAGCCTGACTGGGTTTAGGGTTTAGGGTTTAGGGTTTAGGGTTTAGGGTTTAGGGCCGGAACCCTGCACTCGAAGTTGAACTGGCAGGTTCATGTGTAGATAGAAGTAGCACTGCGTCGCCTTGATTCGCTGAAAAACACACCCTACACCGTGTCTACATGCCTAAACCTTAAACACCTAAAACATCGTAAAACCCTTCAGCCAGGGAACCACCACTTCGAAGAGCGTGGTGGTTGTCGTCGTGCTGGAAGAGCTCGTGGTCGAAGAACTCGTTGTGGTCGTCGTTGACGTGGTGGAGCTCGTCGAGGTGGAGCCTGTGGGCTCTCTTTGAACTAATGGTCTTCACCCTTGATAGTAATTTATAATAAGACTAGTGTTTTGGGGTATATTCTCGTACAATGATGTGGAGCGCTCTTCTAACTACCGAGTTAGGATTTGGGGTTTAGGGTTATCTCTTCTAACTACCGTTGTTTATATAACTCCTGCATTGCCCATAATTATAGGAAGAGAAAATTTGTGTTGCAGGATATATTCTCGCAGAATTGAATTTGCGCGGGTATTGTTTTAAGCTTCTAGATTACTCGGATTTAGGGTTTAGGGCTTTAGGCTGTACTGCTTTTGGGTTTCAGGGTATGGGTTCCAGAGGAGTACGGTCAAATTGCTGTCAGACCATGTCGGGTTTGTGGGATAGACCACCATGCCTCGGGGCGACCGAGCCCAGTACCGAAGATTCTAGGACTGTACTTAAAGGATCATGGGACTTAGTAACTAGGGTTATAGTTAGGGCCGGTTAACTATACTTATATCCCCAAATAAGGTACTTATAACTCCTTACATACTAACTCCCATGATCCTCCAAGTAGCGTATTCTTGCAACCTCTCAAGGGTTCCAGATATGAAGAGCGTCGACATATGAGCTCATATCACATACCACATATCCCAAACTATTGTATCCGCCCTAAACCTTAAACACTAAACCCTAAACCCCTAAACCCTAAACGCTGAACCCTAAACCCTAAATCCGAGAAGCTTGAACTTGTGACAGTGGTAACCGTCGACGATGTGCTTGTGAGACTGGTGCTGCTGGATGTGCCCGAGGTCGAGGTCCTCAGATGTCCGCTGAAGGCGCGACCCTAAGCCCTGATACAGGGGCCTCAGGAATCACCCATACTAATTTGGGGGTTCCTTATTCTACTTAGAGTAAAATGCTACTCTGAATATTAAAGCTCCTATGTGAAACCGCGTCGGATGTCCGCTGCATAGTCTTAGGGAGCGACTTGGCTCGGCTCCCCGCAGGTCTGCTTGAAGAAACAGCTGAACCCAGAACATAAAAAACCCCTTAATGAAGGAATATGCCTTAAACTTAAACAGGATCGCTAATATGATGTAAGGCATAAACATCATATTAGGGATCCTGTTTAAATTTAAGGCATATTCCTTCATTGAGGATTTTTTTTATGTTCTGGGTTCAGCTAGGGATTTTGGAAGGTCTGGGAACTGAAAGCTTGACTTCCCAAATTGCATCGCAGGATCGTGCTGGTGCTTGAAGAACTGGTGCTCGTCGAGGTCGCACTGCTGGAAGTTGAAGTCGTTTTTGTCAGTGTTGTCGAGGAGGTCGTGGAAGATGTCGTCGTGGAGCTCGTTGAGGTAGCGCTGCTGGAAGTGGAGGTTGTATGTGTCTCTGTCGTAGAAGATGTTGTCTGCGATGTGGTGCTAGAACTTGTAGATGTGGCACTGCTAGATGTGGAAGTCGTGTGAGTTATGCTTGAAGAGGAGAATGTGGAGGTGGTGGACGTAGAGCTTGTTGATGTTGCGCTGCTTGATGTTGAAGTTGTAACAGTCTTCGTCGTGGAGGATGTTGTAACTGATGTAGTCGTGGAGCTTGTTGAGGTTGCGCTGCTCGACGTAGAAGTCGTGACTGTCTTCGTCGTGGAGGATGTCGTGATTGACGTAGTCGTGGAGCTTGTTGATGTTGCGCTGCTCGACGTCGACGTCGTGAATGTCCTTTTTTCTTATACTAAACTTACACCAATAGTACTGCCTGTGTTCCTGCGCTGGTGAGAGGCACCGTGTCCTAGCATTGTGCAGAGCAACAGATTGAGATAGGACTTTTCGAAATCCAAGGGTCTTCGTCGTAGAAGATGATGTCGAGGAGCTTGTTGTAGTACTACTGGAGGTACTTGAGGTGCTGGATGTGCTTGTAGTGCTGCTGCTTGACGATGTAAATGAAGTCGTGGTCCTACAGCAGCAGCTGGTGCAAAACGCGCTTTCTTGGCGTGCTTACTGCCCTTAGAACCTTAAGCCTGGAGTGCATGTCAAGCATCCCTGTTGAAGAAGTCGTAGTCACGGTTGTAGCAGTGGAAGTTGTAATCGTGATGGTCGTTGCTGTGGACGTGGTCTGTGTAATGCTCGTGACGGTTCGGGTAGATGTTGTTTTCGTTGATGTGGTTACCGTGGCAGTCGCTGACGTCGAGGTGGAGGTGGTGTGCGTCAAAGATGAGGAAGTCGAGCTTGTTGTCATGCTGGATGAGGTTGTCGTGGCTGTAGATGTCGTGTTCGTAGAGGTCGTGGCTGTTGAGGTCGTGTCCGTCGATGTAGTGCCTGTAGATGTCGTGTCTGTGGATGAAGTGATAGTCATAGAAGATGACGAAGAAGTCACGGTCGATGCTGTGGATGAACTCACCTGCAAACTGCTCAGAGAGTCACGGATACATGGGAGTTTCCGAAAATTAGGGGTACCTTATTTAGGGATCCTTATAATAAGGATCCTACCATGTAGGGTGCTATATTAGGGTCCCCTATTTTCGGAAACTCCCACATCGAAGCCGGCTGGACGATGCCAGCAAAAAGGCGAGGGCATACCCCACTAACCCAGGGGCCTTAATGAGTAGACTAGGGCTTTGGAGCATATTCTACTACAGTTGTAATGTGGAGCCCTTAGGAATAAAATTGGTAAATCTTTGGGCTTCATTGTTATTCCGAAGTCGCAACTGCGCCATTATTACGACACGAGCCCAAAATCTCACTCGCAGCAAAAGCCCAGTGACAGTGGAACTTGACGTCGATGATGTCGCCGTTGTCGACATCGTGCTGCAGCAAGCTTTTCAAGGTTTCCCTAGACCACAAACCTAAATCCTAAACCCTACATTCCACCCCCCCCCTAAACCCTGAAACTCCAATCCTAAGGTCACGGGCTTACGTGGTTGTTGCCTGAACTAGGTTGGCCCTTTAAAGCCTCTGAAAAATATTCGTAAATAGGGTCCTACTAAGCCCAATAAGGGAAAATATAAAATGTCTCAAAGGCCTACCTAGTGAAGGATGCGAACTCAGATCCTGGGGCTCAAGTTCCGAATGCCGGACTCTTGGGGTGAATGGGCTTTCCTGTCATCCTACGGGGTGTTCCCAGGTTGGGCTGGGTGAACCCCCACTACTTGGCGGATCATGGGACTTAGTAAGTAAAGCTATGAGCGTACCTTAATTGGGGTTATAAGTATAGTTACCCTACTTATAACCCTAGATACTAGGTCCCATGATCCTTTAAGTAATCCTATCGTGGGCGCACTCATCCCAACTAAAGCCCGCTTTCGGCTTGTGATGACCCATGGGTTCGGCTCCTCAGGGTGAGGTGGCCTTCCTCAACGGTTTAGGGTTTAGGGTTCGGGGGGTTAGGTTTAGGGTTTGGGGGGTAGGTTTTAGGGTCTAAGGTTTAGGGTTTGGGGTTTGGGGGTTAGGTTTAGGGTTTAGGGTTTGGGGATGAGGTTTTAGGGTTTAAGGTTTAGGACCCTCAACATTGCACCTTGGCTGCTGACTTTAGGATTGGCTGGCGCGCCTTGTGGTGATCTCTTGCAAGGCTCTGCCACCAGGTAGACGAGATCCGGTGAACAGCCGAGCACAAGTAGGATCCCAGACTGATGCTAACCTCGGAGGCACTTTAGGTACTCTAAGGCCAAAGTATGTACTATATGAGTACATGGACCCCTAAAATCTACTTGGAGGATCATGGGGACTTAGTAAGTAGGGTTATAAGTACCTTAATTGGGGTTACAAGTATAGTTACCCTCATTATAGCCCTAGTCACTAAGTCCCGTGATCCTTTAAGTATGAGCCCAAAACCCTCAAAGGAACCCGTAGTGGTCCAGAGAACAAGTGCCCATGCAGCTTAACCTGGCTTCTGGTCCTAACCCCCCTGCGTGTAATCTTGGACGTGGAGGGGGGTATACTTAAAGGATCATGGGACTTAGTATCTAGGGTTCTAAAAAGGGTAACTATACTTAGAACCCCCCAATTAAGGTACTTATAACCTTACTGACTAAGTCCCATGATCCTCCAAGAGCAATTTAAAAGGACTTCGAGGGAATGATGCTACTCAGTACTCAGACCCCTATACCAATCATTCCCGAACTGGAAACCTTCTGCGTGCCCCACGATTCCGAAAACGATCGTGTGGGACGCTTCGTGCAACTTGCATGCTGCACATACCGATCCCCAAACCCTGGCCTCCTCCTCAAAGATTCAATGGGAGCCCTTGAAACCCAAATTTGATCCCCACATCACATACCCTAAACCCGAACACCCAAACCTCTCAATCCCTACAGTACCTAAGCCCTAAGCCCTTAACCCTCTCCGTGCTGGGTGGGTCGCCCTCGCAGCCGCTGGGCGGCCCGGGTGGTCGAGTCGCTGCCTGCAGGAAGGGCTGTTGTGTGGGTTTAGGGGTTTAAGGGTTTAGGGGTTTTAAGGGTGTAGGGGTTTAGGGGTTCAGGGTTTAGGGGTCCAAGGAATTCGGGGTTTAGGGATGTTTGGGGGTTAAGGGGCCTCTAAGAGGTTCAGGGTTTGGTTTGGATTCTGCTGCGCCACCCAGCAACAATGGCATAGGTATGTATATGCATATATATATATAGATATGTTTCTATATATGCGTATATGCAGACGTAGATCTAGATCTAGATACAGATATAGATACAAGCCCTTACTAATGCTTTTGATATAGGCTGTTACTGTACGGGGGCAGTGCCCAAGGTTTAGTTCGTTTGCTTTCAAGGTCCGTGTTAGGCTTGGGGTTTCAAGGTTTAGGGTTTAGAACCTGGGGCCTCAACCCTACTCTGTGTTTTTTTGGGGGTTTTGGATACACGGGATCCCAGGCTATCGGCTCTGTTTGGCGTGGTGGGGCTTAGCGGATGCAGGCATCGTTGGATCTACTCATTATCGAATGCAGGAGGAATAGTTATTGCAATCGTGTTTCGATAAGGGATCTGTGATGATTTTATCGGGGTTTCTTTCAATTTTACTACATGGGGTTGCTAGGAGGAAATATTTCACATAGGATCCTTCATACTTGGAAGAGCTTTTTCCGAGTACATTTTGGTATGTTCCTGAACTCCACAGAATAGTATTTGTTATTATTCAGGCCCTTTATTGTGGACGATGCAAGGTACTCAAGACTTACTCTGCGCTGTGGATTGATTTACTCCGAGACTGTTTCTTGAATGAGACGGTCGTGGTGTTGGGAACAGGGGCCGATGAGAAGACATAGGAACCCCAAGCACGACAAAGAGCAGCTAACATCTTGTTCTGGAGCAGTTAGTCAACCCACCAGCCATGTCGAGAGCAACACCCGGAACAAGCCAAATGCCCATCAATACATCCTGTCAAAGCAGGAACAGGAGAGACTATGAAAAGGGCCGCGCTTCTGAACCACAAACCGGCGGCCGGAAGCGAGCAAACTGCCCAAACTGCAAACCCCAAAATTCAGTCTAAAAGGTCTATAGGGTTCCTTAAAGGGATCTAAAAGGTTTTTTTTTTTTTAAATGCAGTGGGCCTTTCTCTCCGCTTCCTCGACCCTGCCTTCGACAGGCTTGCACAAATAACACAGCATCCCAACAAGTGATGTTCACTGTTCAGGGACAACATGTGGGACATTGACTAAAAACATCCACCCCGCTCACAGAACGGGTAGAAGGCAGAGAAGCAGACGTACCTCCCGAGCGGACCTGATCCCCAGACGTCCCATCAAACAGAGGCAAGGGAAGAGCAGCCCCAGAAACTCCAAGGCCGTCAGCAACATGTACAGGTAGTGCAGGATCACCAGGTGGAGCACCCACAGCACCAGGAGGAGCACAGGGGCCAGGAGCACTACCATCTTGTTGACATAGTGCAGAATCAACGGCAGAATCTCCATCAGCACCCCCAAGTGCAACACCACGTTCACCTTCAGCAGGATGGAGCGGCAGCACATCACCCACGACATTCTCCACAGTCTCTACACCCCCGCCAGTATCTGCAAGAACTATCCCAGACCCAGCAGCGACCGCAGGACCACCCAGCGCACTGTGCAGAGCAGACGAGGACGCCAAGGAGGTAGTAGAGGCCGTGCCCACCAACTCACCAGTCACCATGTCTTGTCCAGGAGGAAGAAGGCCAGGAGGTTCACGTACACGAACATGATCACCACCATGACCCGTCGAGCGCGAACGACTGCGCGAGCCCCGAGGTCCACGACGAGCACGCGGTTGTCCATGTCGCGTGTTTCTGCCACCACGCATGGCCGACACTGCGACCGCCCCAACATCAGGCGTTGTAGGTGGCAACGTTGACTAGCTTGCCGCCCCACTGCCAGGTCCGCCACGCAGGGTTTCTTGTAGATGTAGCGCAACCTCCTCCGCCAGCGCTCGCAACAGCAGGTAGCGGAACTCCTGCATGTACGCCCCCACTCGACTCCGCAGAGGACCAAACGCAGGTTCACGCGTAGCGGGGTAGTATGGTTGACACCCCAAAACCGACGTACGACGAGCCAGAACGTCCCGGAGAACTGCAGTGGCGCGTAGACCAGCATCCCATAGACCAGCATCCCAAGCCTCAACGACAGCCTGTACGCCCCATCGGTACTCGGGCCCTTCGCCATGCTGTTGAGTATCATCCAAAGCACGCAACAGGCTGCGTAGGTGACGGCGACTTTCAGTCTGCAAACCAGCCTCATCCATACGCAACTCTTCCTCCAGGGTCACCTGCATGAGATTCGAGAAGTCATTGTCCTCAGCATCCACCTCTCCCGACGACAAGCCAGCATCACCGACATCCATCCCAGCACCAGTTGCCGCACCAACAGTACTACTGGCCGACGAAGGATTGGGTCCGCCCTCAGTAGCCAAGGACGGTATCTGTGCATGAACAGGTTCACCCACATTTTGTCTCTGGACCGCCCCAGCATCCATCGCAGCCAGGACCATCTGCCGAGCCAACGACCGAGCCCTCTCGAGCGCCCACGCATTGGCATCGCCCCGGACAAAAGGCGGTTCAGGAAGCTGGCGTCCATCATGGTCTTCACGACGAGGTAGCCATTGACCACGCAGACCTTCTTGAACCATGCTCATGTGGAAATCAGCAAGCTGTCTCTGGAAGCCGGCAAAACCAACTGCAATTCGTCCTCGCACCCCGTCGTCCAAGGGGCGTTGTACAGGAACATCCCGAAGGCGAGCCCAAAGAGTTTCCTGTGCCAACTCCACGGTGGCATCTGCCATAACAAGGGCATCGGCCCAGGCATCCAAACCCCACGCTGCCGCCCCAGGTCCATGGGTTTGTGCAACCCAGTCCAAGAAGTCACAAAAGTCACGAATATGACTAATATGGAACATCGGCCATCCCGCATCATAGAGGCTCTGTTCCTCCGGCAGGGACAACCCAAGACGCGGTACAGGACCAGCAGCAGGGCCAGCAACGACAGGACCAGGACGTCCAGGAGGAGGAGCACCCCGTACTTGAGCAGCTGGAGTACCATCGGCACCAACAGCCCCAGGAGCAGCATCCACACGCTCACGCGGGCCAGGATTGTTATCAGGTTCCGACACCCCACCAGCACCATGAGCAGGCATGTCGGCAGCAGGTAAGGGAGTAGCCATAGTAGCATCAGGAGAACTCACAGGACGAGGGACACCTGGCTGTTGCATAAGTTGCACCCCATCATCATCTGCAACCTCCAGCATCTCGGGATGGTGACAGTTTTCCCATTCCTCCCAATCATGCCAAGTCTGCATGTTCCACCGAGGTAGTTCAAGGCCAGAAGTAACCACGGGAGGGTCATCAGAGGTCCTATGGGCAACAGTTTCACCTGGGTCTCGAGCAGGTAGAGGAGGACTGTCACCAGCATGATGGACGGAAGAAGCAGAGGTCGCCCCAGTGCCACTTCCAACAGTATCCACCTGGTCACCATCGTCTATATGCAGACGTCGCAAAGGTTCAGCATCAGGATCGTCACGTAGAGCAGGGACAGCATCTCGTTGTAGAGGAGGATTACCACCATTCGAAGTCACCGTACAGGAAGACGACGCCCCAACACCAAAGCTGACAGAGGGAGCAGAGTCAAGATGTGGATCAGGATCGTCACCCCGAGCATGGACAGCATCTCGTTGTAGAGGAGGATGACCACCACACGAAGTCGCCGTACAGGAAGAAGTCGCCCCAACATCGTGGCTGATTGAGGGAACAGGGTCATCTTCGTCTTGTAGAGCAGAGTCAGGACGTTGTCCAGGATCGTCATGTAGAGCAGGGTCAGTGTCTCGATGGAGATGCAGAGGAACTTGTCCAGGATCGTCATGTAAAGCAGGGTCAGCATCTCGATGTGGAGGAGGATTACCACCAGTGCGAACCACAGTGGACGAGGAAGTCGCCCCAGGGTCAATCACCCCATCGAGGTCGCGTTCCTCGTCCACTCCATATTGCCAACTGGACACCGTACTGATAGAGCTCGACGTGTGATCTTCACTAACCGAGTTGGCATCCTCCTCAGCAGGCATAGAGGATCTCTGCATCACCCCAGCCGTAGCAACCACAGGCACTGAGTGTGATGTCCTCTGTCTTTCCTGGACGAAGTAGGCCCGAAAGTCACCAGCATAGTTCTCTCCTCCGTGCATACGTTCCGCGGCCTCTTCCATCTGCCGTTTCCACGCCGGTACGAAGGTTCCATCGCGCCACTGACGAGCCCTTTCTTGACGTCGACTCTGGCGTTGAACACCCTGTCCTCCATCATGTAGTCGTTGTTCTTCAGCAGTCCGCGCACGGGGAACATACACGCCATGTCGAAAAAATCCCTGTGGGCGTGCAGAGGCGGTCACACCAGCCGCACCCCAAGAAGAGGACGCGGCAGCGGCATTATCACCCACGGTATCTCCACCAACGGCAGCAGGAGGGCTCTCAGCACCCCATGTTTCCAAGGAAGACCAGGAATTCCACGATGTCCATGCAGTCCAGCTCGACCAGGAAGTCCAGGATGTAGTAGCCGCACCCCTGTAGTCCCAGTTGTCGTCCCGGCTGTCTGTATTCAAGCCACTGCCATACCAGGATGACCAGGTCGACGTAGCATCCCACCCATCCATCCACTCATGCCACCGTGTGTCTTGGTTGTCCACACTCCGGAAGTTGTTGCTGTTGGAGTTCCATTGATTGGTGTTCCACCCATCGCCAGGGACTGCATTCCCCTGCCGCAGGTAGTAGGCACCGAGAAGGAGGATCACGATGAAGAGGAGCCGCCCACGCAGAAGGACCGGTGCCATGGCGACGACGAGTTTCGTCAGCAGTCCCGACTCTTCCAACTAAACTGCCAAACTCAAGAAAGTAAAAAGCGTGTTCCATGCGAAAGTCAGACGAGATCATGTTCAGAATGAGACAGGTCAAAGTAGATGTCAGCGATCATGTCAACATACGGCATGTAAGGAGCCAAAGATTCAAGCACAGGGCACTCAGTCCGAGCAACTTCACAGGCTCTGCACTGCACCTTCAACTCAAGCAAATCACATCCCAATAGCTAGTTGCCTGCCCCGACACCAGGGCACATCCATGTCATGTCGCCACTTATGCAAAAGTTGCTTCCACGCTTCTCTAGCAGGACAGGCTTCATACCACATCACCCCGAGGCAGGTTGCGAGGGATCTCTCAAGGTTGGCCGCTCGAAAACGTTGTGGATGACGCACACCCTGTTTGGACGACTTTTCATTGTACCACCACCCCAAATTTCTCCAGAGCAGCATTCTTGCCGCGAGCCCCCTTTGGCCACCCTCCCATTGGCGCATCCAGTGACCCGCCAACTGAAATTGCAAGCGCAGTATTTTACTGCTCCATCTTTCAATGCCAGCGTAGGCAATCCACTGTCGAACCTGCCGGAGGGACCTCGCATTGTACGAGACCCAGTCTTCCTGTGCACCCCGACGAATGCCAAAGGAGAGCCTCAGGACACGAAGTTGTGTAGAGTTCATCATCACAAGGTCAGACGTTTCCCAGTGGACCGCCCCAGCAGACCAACTCCAAGCACCCTCAACAAGCGACTGGCACAAGCGGAATTTCTGCCAAAACGTCCCTGGCCCACAGAGGAGGTCCTTGTGCTCGTGGAAAGCTTGCCAGACTCGTCCATGGAGCTCACGCGCCTGTTGATGTGCAGGGGCATCAAGATCATAGTCAAGTCCAAGGACCCGCACACACGTCCCTGCAGGCTCAACTTGCACGACAACCCCATCAACGAGCACGTTGCGACGCCCCTTGTAGTATTTGGTCGCCACAACAGTTGTTTTTGCAGCGGCCAATCGTAGCCCGACTTTGGCAAGTTCCTCAGAGATAAGGGCAATGTTCTTCTGCAGGATTTCGGCCGTGCTGCTCCAAGTGAAGATATCATCTTGGTACGTCCCAACATCAGCAAGGAGATCAGCAAGTTTCCCATTAGGATAGTGCCATCTCCGCCCCGACTTGAGGCGATTAACGATGTCAGAGACAATCAAGCCGAAAAGTTCTGCAGACTCAGGGCTACCCTGGCGGATGCCACGATTGCATTGCACATCCACATCACCCCCACCAGGAGCACTACCTCGCAAAATGTTCACATCCAGGAGGTTGAGCAGAAAGCGCCATTCATGTGGAACTGCAGCGTTCCGAAGGCGTGCTTCAATGTAGTCAGCAACAGCACGACGACTCACAAAGTCGAACGCCCCTTCCACGTCCAGCTTGGCAAAGATGACCCCGCACCTCCATTCGCGACTCATATCACGCAATCGTCCCATCACCCCGTGCATGTCAGCGGTGCTACGTCCACATCCACAGGCCGACCAGGGAGCCGGATCACGAAGTCGAGTAAATGTCCGCCCCATGACGATCTTCGACAGAAGCTTCATACTGGAGCATGACATGGCGATTGGACGAAGTTCCTTAGGGTGTGTCGGCGTAACGGTCTTGGGCAGCAAGGCGAGCAGAGATACGCCCCAATCTTCAGGCATGACCCCATCCCGGAGCACACTGTCCAAAAGCAGACAGAACTTCTCAGGGTGTGCATCATGTATCTTCCGAAGTACATCAACACTCACCCCATCGGGTCCAAGAGCAGATCGAGCACGCATAGATCCGAGAGCACCTGCAACTTCTTGAGGTTCAATGGGCACATAGTCATTGCCATTGCACTTGAGAGCATCAACACGCCCCCGAAGTTCAACATCCCACTCAGAATTCTCATCGAAGACCTTGCTTCGCAGGTGCGTCTGCACTTTCACAGCCAATTCAGATGACGTGCAATCCTTCAACATGGCACCCCACCAGTTGCGACGCTTCTTTTCACTCTGACGATCTCGATATGCCACCCAGTCCCCAGCCAGGATGCGACCAACTCTGCCTTGCTGCCACACCCTCCGAGCCTGCCGTCGCAATCGATGCACATCCTGCCAAGCCTTCTTACTTTCAGCACCATGCACCTGTTTTGCCCGAAGACTCGCAGCACGGACATCAGGAGGATCAACGTATTTAGCCTTGACCCTGGGCTTGGACGTGGCCTTACTGATCGTCTTGACTTCATCCCAGCTATCAGGTTCAGCTATGTTAGCACCAGCAGTCACCCATCTCGGTCTGGTATCGATCCATCTTCCCCAGCGCGTTTTGCTGATCTCCAGGGTCGTCTCAAGTCTGGCATGGTCAGTGTTGATGTGAAATCTCACTTCAGCATTGACAACGACACTACTGGCCGTCAGCAGACGACAAAGGATGGTATCAATGTGGCGTCCTTCACGAGACTCATCACGAGGAAAATGTGTAGGATTCCAACGGTCACCCCAGCGTGGACAAACAGCACGTAATCGGAGGTCAGCGATGCTCTCAAGGAACTTGTCAATCTTTGCTCCCGCCCTCAATGGCACATCACCCGCAAATTCGTCCTCACTGGCAGCTGCCCACTCCAGAACTTCATTAAGGTTAGGGATTAGGGTCTACTTGGAGGATCATGAGACTTAGTAAGTCAGGCTATAAGTGCCCTAATTGGGATTACAAGTAGTTATAAGCATAGTTCCCCTAATTATAACCCTAGTACCTAGGCTTCCCAAGTTCGATACCATCTGGGAGTTTCCGAAAACTAGGGTACCTTATTTTGGGCTCCTTATAATAAGGATCCTACTATTTAGGGTACCATATAAGGGTCCCCTATTTTCGGAAACTCCCATCTCTGAGAAATTCCCAAGGCCTGTCATCTCTGTGGCCTGAGATTGCGGGGACTGATGCTGCTTGAGGGCGCCCTATATATAGCTATACCCTAAACCCTGTGGTCCCAGGGGCACGCTGGTCGCGAAGTCTTAAAGAATAAGAATTAGGAATAAGAATTGGGCAAGGAATCCACTTTAAGGGTTCATGGGGGCCAAAGTGAGAATATAACAGAAGGTCACTCATATAGGGGCCTTAATACGGATCTATGACAGTTTCTATAGGGTTTCTAGAGGGGTACTTACAAGGGTTCTAGAAATGCATACAATCTTGGGGAGCCAGAAGAAACCTAATTTAGATAACTACCTACATAACATCGGGGCCTGAACAATTAGAACGTTGTGAGATACTATATGCACTATAACAACTCTAATGAGAGGTCCTAAGGAGTAGTAGTATTGACTAGTTATTCTAGATTCTATGATCGCTTCCCCCAATCACTAAACACCTTCCCCGAAAAACAACCAGTTGTTTCTTCGAAATCACCCTGTGATCATCTCCGCCTCTCAAGAGCAGGAGCAAAAACAGGAGCAAGATCAAGAGGGGCTGGAGCAAGAGCAGGCGGGAAAGCCGCCGCAGGAGCTAGAGCAAGAAACTACCCAGTGTGACAGTAGAGAAAAAAGACACCGTAATAAAAAACACTTTTTGAGTTTTACTGCGAGGGCCGCTTAATATTAAGGGGCAGGGGTTATCAGAGTGTACTTGAGCCTGCGCAGGGGTTGGAGGCTGGGAAGGGCAGGGTCTTGCAAGCTTTCGATGGGTTTCCAGACCAGCTTTGGGATGTTGGGCATCTGAGTGTATAGAGGTCTGGATGAAAAGTAAAGACTAATACCCCTTTTGACCTCTATTCGCTTTCAGCCCCCCTTCTCGTCACTATATACTTAGAAAATAAGTATAAGATCCCCCGAGAGTCTCCATCTAATCATACTACACTGAAGAATATCCCCATACAGTCTCCATATAGATATAAGATGCAGGCATCGGGGCGCCGAAGGAGGAAGATGGTAAGGTAGAATGTAGAAGTCACAGAGGCTCTTTAAGGGAATCACTACGACTTCTACGAGGGGATCTACGAGGATTCTGTGAGGTTTTTAAAGTATCCAAAATGGTGTCTTTCAGGGTTGTTGAAGGGTTCAGCTCGAGTAGGACGTGCACAGAAGCCGTCAGTCAGGATAGGGAGACAAGAGCGCCCTTCCTATTTGGAGGATCATGGGACTTAGTAAGTAAGGTTATAAGTACCTTCATTGGGGTTATAAGTCTAGTTACCCTAATTACAACCCTAGTTACTAAGTTCCATGATCCTTTAATTAATGTCCTGGGGTTTCAGATCTGGGAGTCGGGATTCGTGTTTTTGATTCCCTCGTGTCGTTGAACTACTATGACTTTCGAGACTTATTTGAGTCCGGCTACTACACAATCAAAGTGGCACAGAAAAGTTATGCCGGAGAGTGGCACCTGTGAGAATTCTGGTTGGGGCTCCAGGACTCGCACACAAAAACTGGTTCAGCTCCTCCGACTCAGCGTCTGCCCCCTCCTCCCCTGCAGTGGACATGCGGACCCGAACAGCTTCATCAAAAACTGCTCTTTGAATGATCTTTCCCATTCACATCATCATCATCATCTCCATCCTCCCTCCTCTCTCATCCCTCACCCCTCATCCTGGTCCCCATCCCTCATCCCTCATCCTCCTCCTCATCATCTACCTAAAGCCCCAAATGGCAACCAGGCGACATCCCCAGCCCACCGTTTGGTGCGGCCCCAGGTGAAGACGCCGCCATCGGCCATCCCCGCTGCGAAGCCACCGCCCCGGAGGGCTTGGAGGCTGATCGCCTCATAGTACTGTACGATAATATACTGTCATACAAATACTTTCTGTCATACTATAGTAACATACGAATATATTAATATACTAATACATTATATAATATATTCATATATTGATATTTTGATACACTAATATGTTAATAGAGAACTAATATATTTATATACAATCATCTTCAAATATTGTTATATTAATGTACCCATATAATTGTATATTCATATACTAACATCAATATATTAATGCACCAATATATTGGTATGTAACCAAATTAATATATCAGTTTGTTCATATACTAACATACTAATATATTAATCTGCTAATATATAGTAATATGTGAATATTAATGTACTTATATACCAATATATGAGTATGTTAATATGTTGATATATTTCTATATTCATACATTAATATACTAATATGTTAAGAGATATAATATACGATGCTGCATCGGTTCATGGTCTCATTGGTTTAGCGGTTTATGGTTTCACAGGCTAGAGTTTTCAAGTGCGCCGTCAGGGTTCTGTGAGGGTTCGGGTTTCGGAGTTTTGGGTTTCAAAAGGGCTGAATAACTTGGAGGATTGGCTGAGCACACCCTCCCGAGTTTCCAACGCAGGAGTCCGAAGTATTTGTCGACACCCGAAGCACTGGATGCTGCCTTCGCTGCCGACGCGGAGGCATACTGGACCTCCGGGAAGTCGCCGCCGCAGCACCTGGCAACTAAAGCATTCCTTGATTTAAGCTTCACGAGGTTTAGGGCTTTCGGGTATGGCGCTGTGTGGATTGGGCTTGGGGTGCTTTGTTGCCCTACTTGCCATAAGTCTTCGGCAGGACCCAAGTTTGTAAGTTTAGTGCTTGTCGGCTTCAGGGCCTGTGGCTTGGAGGACTTAAGGCAAGTTAGGGCCTCAAACCTTCAGGGGCTTCGTGCTTCGTGGCTTGAGGGCGTGAATTGTGGAGTCGATCTGCTTCGAACCTGGAGTATAGGGGCCTTTATAAAGAATAGGGGTTTGGGGCCTGGTATACTTCAGTATACTTTAAGTATAATAAGGAACCCACAGAACTTTATTGGTAATTATTGCGGTCCCTGTAGAATTAACTCGGCACAGATGTCAAATATCACGTATACCTTCTGCACCGGCTCTGAGCAGATGTGACTCTACACCCCCACGCTTCCAACCCTGTTGATCCCCCCAACCCTGACACCAGTTCCTTGAAGGATCATGGGACTTAGTAAACCAGGGTTACTGTTAGGGTAGCTATATTTACAACTAAGGTACTTGTAACCTTACTTACTAGGTCCCATGCTCCTTTGAGTCCTGATCACTTAACAGAACTTCGATGTCCTCGACCCTATACTTGAGCCTCTTGCCCCAGGCCAGTATGGTGCCGTTTCGCTTCAATGCAGCCACCGCCCCGGTTCCCGCGGAGATGTCGGCAACATCCGAAACCAAGTCCTGGGCTCTACTTCTTCAGTGGTATGTAGCATCTCAAGCATGTTGCTTCCTGATCTTTCCCATGCTTTTCGATTGCGAGCTTGAGTCCTCTGGCCCAGAAAGACCTTTTGCAACATTATGGGCACGATGCCAAGTTCCGAATATGTATCTAGGGCGCCGTAATATGTGCGGAACGAAGACAGGCTCTGCCGTGTGGTGTAGGAAGAAGACAGGCCCCGCAAAGCATCGGACGCAAAAGCCAGCACCAGGAGCAGCGGATGCAGGCACGAAGTACTGTAAAGCCTAATTTACCACCAACCACAAGTTGACATCTAGAAGCCGAAGACAGCGAAGTGCGTCAAACCTTTCAACAGAAACGCACCGAATTCCTAGACAGTCACCGAAGCAGAAAGCAGGAACATCAAAACTCCAAGAAGAAGGACATGGTGTGTAAATCTAATGTAGGAACCTGAATAAGAAGCCCTGGGCCCATAACCCCAAAATTGTAGGATTCATATACGGAACCCCAATAAGGGCCCAAGGTTTCTTACTCAGGTTCCTACATTACCCTATCCAAGAGGCTGCCGCTGGGGCATCTTGGCAGGCAGTGCATGTCCGGGAAGCCCAAGTAACGACGCTGCCGTCGGACTTCCTCGGGGGGCAACGCAGTTTCGGGCCGAAGCAGCAAGGTTTTGTCTTCCACGCGCCTCAGATTAATGGCCCATGCATATATATATATATATGTATATACACATGCACACACACATACACATATGCACAGTGTTCATATGTAGTATATCTATGTGTATCATTGTATGCATGTAAGTGAATAGTTCGTACGTAGCAGCAGGTGAAATTTATGTACATAAAGACACATGTATATCTATCTATCTGTCTATCTCTCTATGTACTATCTACCACTATCTACCTAAGCCTAAGTATGAAGCCTTGGAGGGTTTGGCCCAACTAGGTAGCTGAGCTGCAGTGCTGCAAAGTGGTAGTCGGAAGCTACAATCTTCGCTACGCCAGCGGAGATCGCGGCTTCCACATTGGGGCCAGGCCAGTCGTCTGCACCCCGCTGTGCCAAGAACCTCAGAGTTGTTTGGGTTGAGGGCTTAAGCTGAAGCTTAATCGGGGCTTTTGGGATCTGCGCGTCGTACAGAAACGAACTCCTTACCTTTACCTTGTCTGTGGGCTGCTGCGTCCTCTGCACCCGGGCCCTGACATCCACAAGACAAAACCTCCAATCCCGAGCCTCCAGAGCTCCACCACAGGATTCCCAAAATCAGAAGTCAGCACCCTAAACTTCAAGAGCCCTGCAAGCCAACATACCCTCAAGCTAAACCGCAGATGTTCAGAGAGCTCTGCCCTCCCCCACCCACCTGTAGGCCTAGAGCCCAGACACCTCAACTCCCTGAACAATTCTGTATGCCCCACTTGATTGAAAAGGAAGCCATGGAGAAGAGTGGTAATCCAGCATGGTAATAATGGTAATAATAGCAATACTTGTAATAATAGTAAAAAGAGTAGTAATAGTAGTAATAGAAATAATATTTCCGAAAATAGGGGACCCTAATATAGTACTCTAAATAGTAGGATCCCTATTATAAGGACCCCAAAAGAAGGTAACCCTAATTTTCGGAAACTCCCATAGAGAAACCGAAACCCGCCCGGGTTTTCGGCCTCAAGGCATTGCGGTCTCGTGGTATGTTACTTAAAGGATCATGGGGGACTTAGAAGCTAGGGTTCCTTAAAGGGTTCCTAAAAAGGGATCTATAAGGGTTCCGTAAGAGGGGCTTTAGGGTTAGTTAAAGGATCATGGGACTTAGTAGCTAGGGTTATAATGAGGGTAACTATACTTATAACCCCAATTAAGGTACTTATAACCTTACTTACTAAGTCCCATGATCCTCCAAGTGGGCTCAAGACTCAGGTGTTGAAAGCCCTCGGGCTGTAGGCGTATACGAGTTTCAGTGTCCAAAGCAAAAGCACTTCATACTTCTCAGAGTCATAAAGGCTCTCTGTCGCAGAGCCTGCTGAGTCTTAAGGCTTGAAGGGTCGAAAAGCTCTAGCTTCAGAGGCCTATTCTGCTCGCAGGTGCTGGACAAGACTTAAGTTTGTGGGGTCGCCAAAATGCCCAGAAGCCCTGGACCGCTCAACCTTAAGCCAGCAGCCCGTAATGGTAGTCATAATGGCACTACTAAGTAATAGTAACAACAATAATAATTTGTACGCATAAGAAAGTCCGATAATCAGAACAGCAAGACTGAACATCATCATGGTAATAGTAGTACCCGAACCGTTTCCTTCCCAGCCACTGAAACGCCGACTTTTCAGCGCAACTATGATGCCAGGTAATGGCACGGCCGTCATCCAGCAGTGCCTGGGTTCTTGTTAACAAACTTATGTTTGGAGACGCTACAGTTCAGGACTTGCTTTTCAGGTCAGAAATCAAGATACTGCACAGTCCCAGGTACCACCATACGGAACACATTGACATTCTGCTCACTACATGTATGATATATACAGACACTTACGATGGCAACATACCATTACTATGTGATCATCTACTTTGGCGGAAACCAAACTTCTAGACTCTACGCCCTAACATGCCCTATCTAAACCCGAAACCCTATCGTTCGTGCCTGGGGCCCCGAAACCATACAGTTATTGAGGTCATTTTCTTTGCCCAACACCAAAATCCCCTCAACCCTGAACCATTAACCCCTCGGAACCCCTACACCCTAAACATTCAGGAAATCGAACCTCTCCTCAGGACCCAGATGCTGCGCAAGCGCAGGCAGAAGCCAAGATCGAAGAAACCTGGGGTCTTGCAGCGCTGTAGGGCTTAGGAGTTCAGGGTTCCCCTAAAGGGATCTATAAGGGGTTTTTTAAAGGGGATCATCGGGATCATGGGGCTTTAGGGTTTAGGGGTCTAAGGTTTTAGGGTTTAGGGTTCAGGAGTTCGGGTTAAGGTTCGAGTTCACGGTTTAGTCTTTAGGTAGAGCTTCAGTGTGGGGTGGTTTAAGGCAGGGGTTTGGGGTCTAGGGTCTAGGGTTTCTCAGCTTGCTACTTGTTTTCTGGTTGTTTGGATTAAGGGCTTAAGAGTTTAGGGTTGTAGGGGTTCAGGGTTTAAGGATTAAGGGTTTAGAGCTTAGGGTATTCACTTGTCACTTTCATGAGATTCAAGTTTGGGCCCCGTGAAGTTCTCGATTTGGTGCTGTGGGTTTCGGGCATGTGTGCAGCGCATTCGTGGCTCTAGGAGCAGCGGCTTGAAGATGCGGGGTCAAATGAAGGAAGTAAACCACTGTGGCGGTTGCCCGTCCAAACTTCTTCACAAACTCATTAGCTGTCTCCTCAATGCCGAGGAGTATGATAAGCAGCTTCTGTTTTCAGGCGGAGCCTGTATCGACTGTCGAGCCCCAGGTTTTGCAACGAGGCCTGTCCTGGTGAGGATTGCAAATTTTGAATAGTTGGTTCAGAACACCTCAAGCCCAAACTAAAGATGCTCGGTTCAAGGCATGGAACACTGCACAGTTGTCATCGCAATTTGAACTCCACATGAGCAGGACATCCCAATGCCCGAGCCCCTCATTCAAACCATATACTTCCCATTACTCCTATGAGCTTTGACCTGCAATCCTCACTGGGCCCGCTGGTTCTATTGGGTCCCTGTCAAAGAGCCCTTTAATGTAACCCCTAAGCCTTACATGGGAACCCTTTGAAGAGCTAGCCGAAGCCCTAAACCCCAGACGGGAGCGTCTAAGGAGCCACCCGAAACCCGAAACCCTACATGGCAATCCGTTAAGGAACCACATTACACCCTAAACCCCGTCTTGTCCCCGACAACGGAAGCCCAAACTGCTCAAGGCCTCCCATCCCGAGACCGCGGGGAGCAGCGAAAACAGTGCCAGCAGAGTTCCATTGCGCCGGGCATGCATTGTTTTAGGGTTTGGGGTTTTCTGGATTGAGAGGCTTGGCGATGCCAAAGAAGAGTTGCTGGTTGGTGTGGAACTGGGTGCTTGTAATGTTCATGCGAATGAATGCAATTGTCGGCAGTTACCCAGAACAGCTTGCAGCTGCGGAAGATAGCAAGCAACTTCCAGCTGCAAGCCTGCCTAAGCATGTGACACGCCGAGGGCGTGTTCAATGCTGCAATGAGGCCAGAGGATATCTCACAAGCCCAAGCATTCATCAACCTTTTGCTCAAGTTGGACCGGAACAAAAATCGAAGCCCTTGGAGGTTGGGGCTGTCGCAATGGTCGATAGCCCACTGTGTTATGTTGAATTGCCGCCATGATCGTCAGCATCTCACTCCGACTCCCGCGTCTGACGAGCGTAAGATTTTTTCAGAAGCGAACTCATCTGCAGCACGCCTCGCCTAGCTACTAAGTCCCATGATCTTTCAAGTACAAGCTAAGTCTCTACTTCAAAACGAGTTTTAGAGCGTCCCACGGCGGAGCTGCCACTTGCAGGTCAAGACTTGTTAATTCGTGCTTTCCTGCTGCACCCGAGCTTGGTTGGGAGATGCCTGAATCCTCCACTCTACCTCAGATTCGACAACTTACCCGACAAGTCGACATTGTTTTCCACTTTGTAAGCGCACCTGTTTATGGCAAGCTCAGAATGACCTCATAGGTGCCTCACAAATTATTATGGTTATCTCGTCAAAACGGCCTGACAGCAAACCCTTAAACCCTAACCCCTACAGCCTAAACCACACAACCTTGAACCGAAACTAACCCCGCACCCCATCCAGTTTGCTCTCCCAAAGACTCCAACATCCTTAAATCAAGGAATACACTCTAAACCCTACAGATCCCTTAAAAGGAACCCGAACCCTACGTAGGCCCGCAACCCTAAAACCTAAACCCCGCCCTCTCGCCTTCCCCCCCAAACTAAACATCCCGGGACTTTGCTCTCACAGGGGGGCCGCGCGCTTTTCGCAGGCGATCCGGCTCCCCGGAGAGCCCAATACCCCTTGATCAAGGAATATAGCGTAAATCTTAATATGACTCCCCTTATAGTCGCAATATGACTCCCCTTATAGTCATAGTATGACTCCCCTTATAGTCATAATATCCCCTTTATTATAGTCACAATATCCCCTGATAGTCGTAATATGAATTCCCTTATAGTCATAATATGAATCCCCTTATAGGTTCCTTGATGAAAGGGTACAGAGCGCTCTCTGGTTCTGGGACTAAGGACCCGAAGCTCCGAGACCTGGCAGTCTCAGGGCATAGGAATTCCCAGGATTTTTGGGGTTTTAGGGTTTAAGGGTTTAGGGTTGAGGGTTTAGGGTTTAGGGTTAGGGTTTAAAGGTTTTCTGGGTTTTGGGGGTGTAGGAAGACGCCTGTTTTTTGGGTTTAGGGTTTAGGGTTTAAGGGTTTAGGGTTTAGGGGTTTAGCTATAAGGATTATATTAGGGGCCTTTTTTATATTCCGATTATACCACAATTACAGGGTGATAGAAATTCCTAGGGTTTGGGGTTTTAGGGTTTAAGGGTTTTCTGGGTTTTCGGGGTGGTAGGGATCTTACACTTTAGAGGTTTCGGGTTTAGGGGTTTTAGAATTTTAGGGTTTAGGGGCTTTAGGGCTTAGGGGTCTGGGGCTTCAGGGTTGTAGGTGTGTTAGGGTCTTCCTGTAGCCAAAAGACCTACCCTTTTAAGGAAGTATATATAGAAACCATAATAAGGAACCCTAAAAAGGTAGGTCTTTCCGGCTACAGGTTGGGGTTTGAGGGTTTAGGGTTCAGCTGCAGCTCTTGGGTCTGTGGCAAATGGACGCTTAACAGGGCTTGTAATAAGGTTCAAGTAGGGTCAAAAAAAAGCTTGCAAGTGTTTTTTATGCGCATAAAAGTCACTATAAGTAGGGCCAAAACAAAAGCTTTAATGGGACTTTTGAATTCGATCTGCAGGCAAGGTTTTAGGGATTTAGCGTTTTGAGGTTTGGGGCTGTAGGGTTCCAGGGTGTGAGCTTTGAGGGTTTTAAGGTTTAGGCTTGTTTAGGGTTGCAGGATATGGGTTTTCAGGGTTTAGTGTTTCGGGGTTTAGGCACAGCTTGTGCCGCACAAGTGGCAATCAACGTAGGGGCCGCAAAAGTCAGAGTAGGAGTTGGGGGTACATTATAACACAATTACAATAAGGAACCTTGCGGAATAATCTTTGTAATTATTTGAGCTTCTATATTTGCCGTTTCGCAAGGGTTAAGATCTATTCAGGCTTTAGGGTTTAGGGTTTTAGGATTTGAACAAGGCTTAACGAGGTTTCCATTAGAGCTTTCCTCAGGAAGCGTACGTATCTACATCCGCCTGAAAAAATTGGATTAGGTTTTTGGGAAGACTCTACCGTACATAGATTCGGAACCCTGAGAAATAGCACTGGGAACAGATTACTCAGGGCTTCTATATCAAGCTTTTTGACAGAAATAACCCAGAACTGAGGATAGTCGTGGAAACATGGCTTAGCACAAGGTATGGTTTTTAATAACCGGGCTTAGCACACAAAAACGCAACAGCTTCTGCAGCTGCTGAACCATGTCCCATGGCCCGTTCAACCCAAAGCTGCAAGCGCAAGAGCAGATTTATGAAAGCAGTTTCTTTGTCTACTCAGCAAACCCTCAGCCAGACAATACAGCAGCTGAGCCACTTTGTAATCAACAACTTGCCAAACACATCCTGTGCGAACTTATATCCCCATCTGCCGGTCTTGAAAACGACTGGTCCGGCTGCCATTTCCGGAAGAAAGCTGGCAAAGGTGGGGCCCCCGCGCTGCCCACTGCCACTGAAGGGCTGGAACGACGAGCCACCTTTGGGCTAATGTTGAATCCCTTAAGTCTTCTCCTAATACATAGTGTATTATTTGTATGTATATTTGTACCATGTTATACCACATTACATGACACTATACTATACTCTATTTCGATATGAATGTTAGAATCGCTAAAGACCAAAGGCCAGGGGTCTTGCAGTCTTCAGTCCACGATAGGGATGCGTTAGACTTTTCATGCTGGGCCTTGTCCAATCTACACAC